CCCCCCGCCGCCGCCCGCCCCCGCGCGCCCGCAGTCGGTCGTTCCGCCCACCCGCTACGACCCGCCGCAGTATCACCAGCCGCGGCCGTTCTCCGTGCCGCCGCCGCCACCACCACCACCAACACAACGCACCAGCGGCCAGCACTATGACCCCGTCCGCGCTGCTCTCGACAGCTATCCTCCTCCACCTCCTCCCGTGCCCTCCACCTCGTCTCCCGCCTCCGCTGCAGCCGCTCCAGCGCCCGCCGTGAACGTCACCATTCCCTCCACCCTCTCTGGCTCCTTCACCTCCCCCCCCAACACTGCTACATCGCCTCCTCGCACCGTGTTCCGTGCAAGTGCATCGCCCGCCATCTCCAGCATCATCGACCCTCCAGCACCCACCATGGCTGCCGTCAGCCTCGCTCCACCGCCTCCCACAGCCCTGTTGCCGCAGAACATGACCAACCTTCCTATCCACAACTCACCCGCCAGGCCAGAAGCAAGCATGGAACCACCCAAGCCAGCTGAAGAGCGTTCGCTGGGCCCTGCCAGGCTGCAGGAACTGGTGCCCATGGACATTGACAACAAGCAACAGCCACCTCCCGTTCCCACCACAGCCATCGCCCAAAAGTCCTCCGCCACCCCCAAGAAGGATAAAGCCACTGCAAGCCCTAACACCCCAGCCTCCGGGGCGCAGTCGCCCAAGCCTGGCGCGCGCTCAAAAGAAGCTGCTCCTCGCACAACCGGCTCTGGCTTACTAACGAGCGCCGTGTTCGGGCTGGACATGAACTCTTCTGCGTCCACCGCCAAAACAGTGCCCAATATCATTGTGCACGTCCCACTACAAGGCCAGACCAACGTGATCTTTAATTTCGCTCGCTTGGCCGAAGAACAGTACGGCTTCGACGCCCTGCATCCTCGCATCGCGGCGCAAAGGGAGCGTCGAGCACGCCTGGCCGCCGCCAGTGCGGCGCTGGCCCGGAACGAGAAAAACCGAGGCGAGAGCGGCGCCGAGGATGATCTGAGTCTTGACGTCGACCGCGACAGCGATGGGGATGGCGACATCGCCATGTCGGGCACGGGTCCCGCCAGCGAGGCTGCCGCCGGCGCGGCAAAGGGCCGCAGAAAGAAGATGGAGGACTACGATCGCGACGATCCCTTTGTGGATGACAGCGAGTTGGTTTGGGAGGAGCAGGCGGCTGCCAGCAAAGACGGCTTCTTTGTGTACAGCGGGCCTCTGGTTCCGGAGGGCCAGACACCGAGTGTCGAGAGGTCAGTAAACATCCTAATTGTTCTGTCTATTACACTCTTTCTAACACCAGATAACTACAGAGCCGACGGCACCGTCAAACGCGGTCGTGGCCGCGGTGGCCGCGCCGCCGCCGGTGAAAGCCGAGCCGCTGCTGCCAGCAGAACCGGTCGAAAAGACGGAGCCAAAGACAAAGACTCCAAGGATGACGGCCCTGCCAAAGAGAAGCCCAGGTCCGGCCGAGGCGGCGCGGGAGCCACGAGAAAACCGCGCATGACCAAGGCCGACCGCCTGCTCATGGAGAAGGAGAAGGCCGAGCGGGAGAAGCTGGGTATGGGCCTGGCGGGTAAGAATGGCGTCGCGGTGGGCGCGAAGTAAAGAAGTAACTATCTGCATGTTTGTTTGTTTGTTTTTTATTTGTGTGTTTTTTCGATGTCTATGATTTTGTGTCTCCATTCATTCCTTTTTCTTGATTTCCTTTGTTGTTTGTCCTGCACCACTTTTTTCTTTCTTTTTGGTGCAGTGTCGGTTTGCAATGCTTCAGGCTAGCCGATCGGGGTCTACATAATTCTTTTGTTTGACGGCGGTATTTTTTTTTTTTTCCGAGGGTGAGAGAGGGGATGCTTGCTTGTATGTACTGTCTTTTTTCTATGTCTCCCTGGAAGATGTGTGTATAACAATTCTCGTATCCACCAGGTGCTTATGTTGCAGAGAATTTTAAAGGAACTCATTGAAGATCTTTTCCATCTGTTACTCGCGGCAGCTGGGATCAAACCGGATATTAAAAGCGGTTAAATATATAGCCATTTATTATCTTTATACACTAACTACTCGTCAGTCTTTCGCAAGACCATTTAGAACCCGTCTCCCGACATGTAGTATCTAAATCAAACGCTCCCTATGCAATATTGCTCCTAAATGCAAGTCAAAAGAGACAAACACCCCAAGCTCATGGGAATCACACGTAAGAGGACTACCACCTACTCCTGCCCAACAGCACCAACATCGCCTGCCTGAATGGCCCAGATCTTCCACTTCGCATCGTCAATCACACTCTTCCGAAGCCACAAACCGCTCTCCTCCCTCTCACCCTGCTGTCCCTCCGGTTTCGACCGCTTGTCTTTCCCGCCCTCCTTTTCACCCTGCTCCAACCACGCGAAAAGCAGACGGAGCTGCCACAGCCGGTCCCGGATCACATCGCACCCGGCTCCTCGGCCTTTGGCCGCGGATACCATGTCGCGCACTATCCTATCGACCGACAGTCTCGCCTCGACGACCGTAGGGCGAATCCAGGGCGGCAGCACGAGCTCGCTCCTTGGCGAGTTGTTGGGCTGCAGTGACTGGTCGAACGGATTGGGCGGCAGGACCAGGGTCTTTTCGCTCATGTCGAGGTGCCTGAAGGCGGGCAGCTTGAAAATCCATTCCCAGAGATGGCGCGCGGGAATTCTGATCTCGACCGAGGAATTCCCGTATGAGCAAAGGGAGGGTGTGGTGGGGTTGGCGCTGCCGCTGAGGGCTTTGGACGAGGCGACGGGGACATCCTGTAGCTCTGTCAATGCCGACATTGTTGCCGAGAACATGGTTCTTCCAGCAATATTATAGGTGGTCCGTCTCTTGAGGTAGATAGATTGATTCCCGCAGCGAAATTTGTCAAGCAGGGATTCATCAGCAGTGAAATCGAGGTTAAGTTTCCAGTGGTCAGGGCTCTGTACTTTTATACTAGCAAGCAATGACACCTCTGGCAGAAGACAGGGTGCTATGGTCATCCTTGTTTCCCCGGACTTGAATGTCAAGGAGACAGGAATTGGCATTGCGCGTCCGGTTTCGAGGTCGCGAGGGATCAGACATCGAGGTTCGGCTGCTAAGACCCACAGATGCCGAAACGCTTGCAAATGGCATTTATTATCCAGTACGGTCGTTGGGAATACCGGGTATAATGCACAAAGTAACGACGCGACGGCAATATCCGATGTTCCCAATGTATGTGTTCCTCCTCCCAGAAACAATATCCCAATGGCCATATGTGTTGCTAGGTGGCTTCCATATGTAGTGTCCATGTCAACGCGGCCGTGAAGCGAGCGTAAACGGCGAAAAACAGGCACATCGCCAGCTCCAGCCATAATAACGGCGGCAGAGAGCGCAATGACATCTTGGCAGTTTCTTGCCGAATTCCGCGTCAACCTCGAGTCGTAGTTGATGGCCGGCAGACGACAGATTCGAATAAACTGATCAAGGTAAAAAACAAGCACGTCACGCGCTCCCTTTGACCTGGAGCCCGCGTAGCGCAGGCCCATAGCGAAGCAGATACCCGCAATAATATTGAATAACGGCATATCGTCTGTGCTCAGCCGACGAATTGTAAGAAGACGACACCTGCTCCTATAAGCCAGTGGAAGAGACATCTCAACCCATTTATGGTTTGGTTTGATTGCATCCCACATAATTAAATGTCGAGCTAGGGTACGAAGAAGAAAGATATCAGGGCGAACATAGTCAAATTGAGCTGCCGTATCGGGTATGTCGACTTGCTTGGCGAGAGCCGCGTCGTTCGACTTCATAAAGATGATTGCAAGAGCAATAGTAGCGCCGGCCGTGGCTCTGTCCAGAGTGTGAACCATATCTACTTGTCTTGTGCCTACTGCAAGGGCAAGCAACCTTTCGACAACACGCATATCACGAAGGCCTCCCAAATCCTTTCCTTTGGCTAGATTAATGAAGCCCAGGGCAAACCCAGCGGCTAAACGATACCCTTCGTCTCGCAAGATTTCTTGGGACAGCGATGTATCCTCCGTTTCCGTATTTTCGATTTCTGAGAGCATTATTTCGCTCATTCGGCGATGCTGAGAGTTACAGTAGAGCAAACCAATCCCCATTATTCCAGTAGTCTGGGTTAGCGGAGATAGATTCAGTTCTGCTGCGCCGGGTGGAAGCATTCTTGTAACATGAACCGAAAGTAGGCGTGCTATCAGGGTATCCATTGTTCCAAGATATGACGCCGAGAGGCCTAAGAGCAATCCAACAGAGGTCATTGTGTGTTTCGGTGTCAAATACTTAAAAGCCACCCATTTTGCAAGACATTTGAGGTGTCCGTTTAGACCAAGTGCGAGCAGAAAACCTGCATGTCGATTCGTCAATTCACCAGGTTTGTTGTATAATATCCATGAGGTGTCAATGCCTCTGGCAGCTTTAGATATAGCAAGGCCAGTCGAGGCCCCATTATGAAAGAAGGCCCAGCATACTTTTTCTTCCGTGAACGAGGTTTTGTCAGCACTAATCGTGATATTAGAGGGTTTTACGACACATTGCAAGGAAAATGAAGGAATTGGGAGTTTCTCCGTGGATAGAGGCACTCGACTGCTAAAGAATAGCAACCCACGCCCGCTCGGGATAGACAATGTGCGCAGAGTAACAAGCTGTACCAGCTCCTGTTGTGCTTCAAGTAAATCGGCTTCTGACCAGTCCGGCTCTGGCTGGCACTCTACTACCGGAGCTCTCATTTGGTTCAATACTTTCACAGCTTCAAAAAATCGTCTATCGTCACGGAAAATGAGTTTAGTAACGGAAAGTCTGTCAGCCTCCGCAGACGCTTCAAACGAATTAACCCCGTTACCATCGTAAACTGAAGATCCAATGTGAAGAATATCGCGTGACGCATCGTGAGACTGCAAAACCTGTAGTCGCGGTATTGGAGGCGTAAGATGTTCGTTAGAAATGGTCAATGAAATATCGTTCCTGTCAATAAATTCGAGTATGGAGGGTCCACAACTAAGTGATGGGTTACTTCGACAATGGGCAATCGCTTCATGCAGCGGTGCGCTAATGCCGTATGGAAGAGTATCAAGGATTGATGTGGTTAAGCGCCAACGTAGTAGCAATGCCGCTCTCTCAGCTGGTGAGGATTGTAGCTCAATTTCCGAAAGTACCCCAGAGACGGCCAGTGTCCTAGGTGTAAGCTCAATGGCTTGCTCCCATAGTTTCCCTGTATCTCGTTTAGCCTCTGTCCTCGAAACTAAGTCTAAGAGAGTAATGAAGTTAAACTGTTTATTCTGCACAAAATGCTCCACGCTCTGAAACACTGATGGTGGAGCAAACGGCTCTGATGGTATGTCTAGTGTCGATATTTCGGATTCCTCAAACGACCAGCCATTTATGCTGGAACTCTCCAGGCCATAGTATGAATTTTCTTTCCAAGTCCACGATTTCCACCCTAACCAGGTGCCAATTTGTGCCAGTACAGGCAGCATGAGCCCCGTGGAATTGTTCAACAAATCAGCATCGACAGATGATAGTTTCAATTCCTCGCGAAACAAGTGTAGCGCAACTAAGATGGTACCCAGCGCAGTCCTTCGGGTCTCGGTGCTTTTTGAGACAGCAGTAGGCAAATAACCCTCGGCGCCACTGGTCGCTTCGCCTTGAGGAGATAAGATAAATTGACGCGCAAGAGAGGCACATCGGATAATGTATTGGTTTTTCTTTGAAACGGATTGATGAAGTAAGGATGCATTTGAGGGGTGATTTGCTTGAGCGACCTCAACATGGTCTTCTCCCTCACGAATCCATCCCCATGAAGGCGTCATCATCCAAGACGGTGAAATACCTGATGAACCGGCTTCCTGTTCCAACATTGTGTCCCAGTTCTCAAAGTCAACAAAACCACTGCTTGAGCGTAGTAATGCACCTCTTTTTCGCTTCGGCTTGGCACCAGTTATTGAGAAATCACCTTCGATGAAGTAAACTGCCATAGAAAAGAGTGTTACGACAAGGGCGGTCCATTCTAGGCTGTTACAATTCTCATTTCTAGAACGAAGCCACCTCAATGTCTCCCACCAGGTCACGAGAATTCCGTCACCTCCTTTTTCACACTGTCGCAAAACAAACCGGCATACATTGAGTATACGCTTAACAAGTACGTTGCGGGGTTCCATTTGGACCTGAAGCCTATGCTTCCTGTTCTGATCGTCAACTATATCAACCTTTCCCCTATGGCTGGGGTGATCTAGCGCGCAGAGATTAAAACTGCTGCTATCAAGCACTCTTCTCAGGCCAGCCTCTCGTGGGTAGTTTGATAAGCGTGCAGGAGAAATGTTAGAAGGTTCATACAGTCCCAAATAAGATGGTAGTTCAATTTTGGCTAGAGTGCTCCAAGGGGCTTGCAAGGTCAATTCGCCCCGACCATCAAGAGTAGTGGATAACACAAGCATTCGAGAAATTTCCCCGTCAATAAGTTTGCGGCAGTCAATGACATTGGATCCTTGGCGAACATCCCTGAGCTGAACATTATAAACGACGTCTAAGGAGTTGTGCTTTTTTGCTTTTCCAGTGGAAAGCGTAGATGACTTTGTCTTTTGAACTTGTAAATTCAAAACGACTAAGTTCTTCGAATGTTTGTTCAAAATGCAAACGGAAATAGGAGTGGCATCAGGTTTATCAGGGTAGGTTTCGTAGAAAGACGACACGGTAAAAACCTCGAACTTTCCGCGTTTTTCACTTGCTGTTAAGCCGCGTAGGCTTGAAAAACCTGAGGAATAACTTCCTACTTTTGACAAAATGATCTCTCTCGGTAGTCCAGATACGCTTTCTCCGAGGCCCATAGTCTCGAAACCTTCCAACTGACCTTCTTTATTCAACCCCTCAAGGAATTTATCAACGGGAACATCCAGAAAACTGCTCCCAGCGCTAAAGACGGAGGGATTTCCAGGAGGTAGAGAGCTTCTGCGGCGGTACCCAAAGCTCGCCCGAGTACTTCCGGCGAAGGATTCCACTTTGCGGGTAAATGGGGTATTTGATTGATTTCCAGCCATCAAATCGGTAAATGTAGTTCTGTCATGGTTTCCACCCAAATCGCTGCGTGCTAATAGGGAGCTAACTCTCCTCGATGCTTTCCACGAAGCCCCAATATCACCAAAATCTTGACCTAGCTGTGATGCTAAAGCTTCTTCCTTTTCAGGGTGAGCATCTGGAACTTGTGAATTGAGTGTATGCGATGCACTTCGGACTTGATTAAGCATTCCAAAACTCTCTCTTAGTCCGTTGGCCCCACGGCTTGCAGGAGTAGCAACGCCAGCTGGTACATCAAAGTAAGAGCTCCTACGCCTACCATACGTCGCGTTCGATGTCCTTCCTTTCCGACTCCGACGAAAACCAGAGCCCTTCTCTCTTTGCTGGGCCGTCCAGACAGTGTAGAGCCCGGTAGTTTCATTAAGTGTCACAACAAGTATTAAAGGATGACGAACTGGTTTTCGAGGATCAAGGTGCGGTAGTTCGTTCGTGGAAGATACATAAAGAATATCTTCTAAAGGGCTTAGGGCTTCTAGGAGTGTTGAGGAGACGTTCGGCACATTGGGAGAGACGGCGACCAATCCCATCTCTGAATGGTGGTCCAAAAGGGAAAAGGTTCTGGGGTAAAATTTCTCCTTTTCCAACTTTGATTTCGTAGAATAAGAAGGAGACATTGTCAGTGAGAATCTGGCACTACTTCGAGCAGAGGCAGAGAAGGACCCCGACGTCCTTGACTTCAGCTGTATATTCTGTGGTGACACAAAAGAATTGGGAGGCACTGGCGGGACGGGCGGTGGTGTGCTTTCAGAAACCTGTGCTTGGAATAACAGGCCGCATGGGGCAGCCCAGATGGAGTCCACTTCGAAGGGCAGTGGAACTACATGAGTATCTCCAGAGATTATGAAAATATGCATCTGAGACTGTAACACCACAACCAAGGCTCTAGACATGGATCTCCTACTGTTTTCGTCCTCATGAGAGAGTCCATGTATGCCGTCAGAGCTGTGTTTCTCATTGATAATAACCTGCTTGGCCAGCTTTCGACTCTGCCCTGACGAAGTGTTCCCGGCATTCGGGTCTGGAGCCGGTATCTGAGTAGTAGCCGCAGCATCATGAGAGCCTCTCAGTTGCCCCGTAAAACTATTTGTCCATTCATCACCAGGAAAATATGCAAACAAAGCGTGGGTGACCTTCTCATTCTCAACATCAAATCCAAAAGCCCGGATTACCACGCCTCCTCGAGACCAGACGACACGATTGTCAGTGACAAACAGCTCTTCTTCAACGGCAACTCCTCCCTCATTCTCATTGCAACATGTCTTCCATGTAAACGCGTTCAACGGCGTGTGCGGTGAAATCACGGACTCGGCAACAAGGTATGGGACAGCTGAAGGTTCGTGGAGGCCCAGCGAGTAAACTGCCGCCATTATCGCGACGCGTTTGAACGGTAAATCGACCTGGCTGCTCCAGCCAGTACTGCAATCATACCCATATTAGCGCTCAAGGGTGTTTAGCACAGGTTGCCAGGCGTTCAGGCTGCCTTCCATTGAGGTGAAGGAAAGTCACGTTGGTTGGTCGTCGCGGTCACGGAAAATCTTCCACAAAACAAACTCTCCATCCAGCTCACAATGCCATCGCAAGCTCCTTATCAGCAACACATCATTCACAGCTAAAGCACAAGGTTCAATTTCGATACTTCAGTCAAACTTCAATACCAGTCATCATGCTCTGAATATGGCCGCTATTTATTGATTGAAGTGCACCGTTGATACAGCATGGAGTTCCCTCAACTGGAGCCTCTTGTCCATTCGACAGAGAGTGGCCTGCGGTTAAGGTGAAGAAGCTCCATTTGTTTATATCAGCCCTACATTCTAACACTTTGTAACAGCTATGAGCTTCCTCATCGCGTCTACAGCACCAAGGTGTATCCGATCCAATCTCCCAACGGTTCTACCATCATAATATATGGCCATGACACTGGAATACACGTCCTATGGAGAGGGGGCAAGAGGATCAAACCTTACAAAGAGGAAGAAGAGAAGGAAAATATCGAAAGCCAGAATGATGGGAATGATGACGTTATAATGATTATAGATTCAGATGAAGAAGACGATGCTCAAGTCGAGAAGGAAACTCCTGCCCCCGCCATCGAATTCGAGGAAGAAGAAGACGAGATCGACCCGAATTGCCCTTTTTTGAACATAATTGCTCGCTATGACATACACCTAGGAGTAAAGGTTTCAAGGGTATCCATTCCAAGCATTCTTCCCGACGCGATACGGTCTCCGGATTCTGTGCCGCAGGTACTCTCAAAAACAATACTCATCACTGCGTGCTGTGCGGATTCTTCAGTTCGCCTCATTGCTGCACCTATTATACCTCCGCCCCCTGCGGACAGTCCATATTCATGGGACCTTCAGACGCTTACGATCCCCTCTCAAAGCATTCAAGCGATTCCACCCCAAGCTTCCATGACTATAACCTGTGAGAGACCTGCTAGCAATGTAGAGTCGCGAAGTCGGAGCCGTAGCAATGCTGAAGCTTTGCGAAAATCTACTGAAAAGTGGAAGCTTCTTGTGGCCGTCCATTCTGCAGAGGCTTCTGGCAAGCTATCGATATACCAAATTCCCTTCAACGAGCAAGAAACCAAAGTTTTCTGCCCATACACACTCTCAAACGATCACCTTTTCCCCGTTCAACAGCTCTACTTAGCGTCGCCAGCAACCAGCGTTTCTTTCAACCCAAGCCAATTTCCCTCCTACCGACACGCGTTTTTGCTTCTGGGGTTTGAGACCGGCAGTGTAGATCTCTACTCATGTCTACCGCCAGATCCGAGAAACCTGTCTACGGCTGATAAGCGAAAATCTAAAGCTGACGTCGAAAAAGGAGGCGTTCGCACAAAGCTACTATTTACATTTTTCACCGATTTTGATTCATCATCAGCAGCACCACTTCGCCGCAAAGGGCTGGTTGACGCAAGATGGGTGCTTGGTGGTAGGGCGATTATGGCTTTAACGACAGAAGGTGAATGGGGTCTATGGGATATTGAATTATCTGGCTCAAACCAGAAGAATCTCGTCCCTGGCTCCAGCGTTTCTGCCGGCCAACTAGGCTTGTTCGCTCTTCGAGGTCGCGTATCTTCCCCAGAAGCGCTGTCTAAACCCCAATCTACCCGTGCTCCGCCCGTTGTTGGTCAGCATAAGTCTAGATTCGCACCTATGACGCCGTCGACCCGCCGTATTCGTGAGGAAGCCCTATTTAAAGGATCACCACAGCATTCTACCCCCATTAGCCATTCTTACAGAGGTGGAATTTCTGTGATTCCAACCAATCAAGGTTGGGACAAACCAGTGGACGAATCCATCTTGATATGGCATGGAGATAAAAATATACAGATTCCTAGTTTACTGTCACTTTGGAAAGCTAGCAACAGCCAACTCACAGTGTCGTTTGATTCACCAAGGATGTGTAAGCCATCTGATGTTAAAGATATCGATACGCTTGGAGAATTGGAGACTGGAATATCTTATATATCAACCTACTCACTATCGCCCACACAAAGTTTATGCCCCGATATCATCATTACCGCTGAAAGCCGCCTTATTATCCTTGCTTCCAAGCTTCGAGTCCCAGAGACAAAAGAGGAAAACGAGCATAGAGAAGAATATGTCACGACTGGTGAGGTTGACCAGACTTTATTACAGAAAGGAGAACTAGACCTTGATGGGATGGATCGTGTATTGGCTGGAATGGCGGATAGTATCCATGGAGGTCGGCCGAACCTTCTACGAAACTCGCAGAATACGTTTTTCGCTTAGATTTTGCTGGTCACCTTACGTGTGAATCTTGTCAAGAGCACAATTCCTCTGTACCATAATACTGATGATAATTCTTCACCAGAGTCATGCCATCATCGGTTTAAAACTAACCAACTTTTGAAATAAGTATACTGATGGACATGCAATGACTAGATTTCCCACGTACCTTTCTGATATCCAAAAGACACGGATTAGTCTCATTTCGCGACGCAAGGTGGAGCACAAGGCGAGCATTAATGCCTTGAAAACTTCTTCCTCTCTCTTCATCCCATGGCCTTTCCTTCCGTGATGTGGTTATGGCTTGGAGATGATGGAGGAGTTAAGCTCTGTATTCGACGCGATACATCAAACACACTTATTTTCCCTCTCTACACCTCTTACACTACTATCAACCATATAGTGATTGTGTTAAAAAAGGTGTGCGCTGAAGGGAGCTTGAGGAACTTTATTTAGTCACTCAGCCATAACTTACTGCCTTTTGCAACATCGAGCGGGAAAAACAAACAAGTCCAGATCTAGTATGTAGATGTACAGGAACTTTAGCAGAATGCAATGCTCAGTGACACAAAAATATTTTCAATTTTCTTTGCTTTTATCTAGACGCACTTGTGCAAACGCACCTCTACTGTCAGGTGAACATATCACAAGAGTCTCACAGCCAGTTCCTCGGCCATTTAAATACAAGAAGACAGGCTAAAAATGGGGACAATACCTGGTTCTATGACAGGATACCAGTAAGCCAGTAGGGACAAGAAATCACAAATAGGGCCAATCGACGTCATCCCATATATCCATGAAGCAGTAGACACTTATCTAACTACCAATTAAAAAAGCTGCGATGCCATCACTTTCCTACTTGAATTATTCCATACTAGGAAGACAACAAAAAAATGAAGGGTGAATCAAGAAATGAACAAATACAAACTAAAAATCACAAACAAAAAAGAAAAAAGAAAGTCTAGTAGTGTAGCAGTGGGATATCAAATGTGCTGAAAAAGCAGGTGAAACCACAAGGCAAGCTTTTGGCTTGAAAGAAATAATCCGGCCTGAAAGAAGAGCTATTTGCGTCTTGTTTGACAGAACAAAAAATATCACACAAAGCAAGCAAATGTAGGAGACATATGATACTTGGTAGAAGAGGTTAAAGAGCGCAGGTAACAATTTGCCACCAAAATTCCGGCCACCAGATTCATCCATAGGGGACCGTGTATCATGGCGGAAGTAATAATTGGAAGGTCCAAACACACACACAAAAAAAAAAAAAAAAAAAAAAAAGAGCGTCTAGACAAGAGTAGGGTCGGGTACCAAAAATTAATCTGAAGAGAATCTCAAAATGGAAGATGATCTGGAAATCGTCTGATCGGAATGATTTCTCAAAACCACTCTTTTTTTCGTTTTCGAAAAAAGCAGCAGGGCTAAAGTGTTATGCAACCTGAAGATGCGAGAGTGTACAGTGCTAAACAGAGCTCCGTGGTCTTGAATGCAAAGGAGAGAGTGCTATGCATAGGGAAAAAAAAAAAAACAAAGGAAATGAAGCGCTACACATAGTTGGTTGAATTTTAGTTACTTGTAAAAACTCCCAGGTGTTTCTATCGGGAAATTCCATTGGTTGAAGCGCGTTGATGCGACGCGAGAGGTGTGTTTGCAGGAGGAAATGCATATGCATCAAAAGGAGGCGGAGGCAATTCTTTGTCTCGCGATGCCATCTTCATAGGACTGCCGTTTCGCCGCTGAGGAGAACCATCAACTTTGGGAGGAGGTGCTGGGCGATCGGGTGGCGGCCCAGGTGATGTTAGGTCGGTGCGAAAAGCGCTCCGCCTTGTGTCCGATACACCATTCGTTTCAACCCCATTGGCTTCCTCTTGATGATTGATGCCACTCTTGCCACTTCTACCCCCAGTGCTACTAGCTTCACCGGCTTCTTCAACAATTGGCAAGTGAGTAGATTGCGACGACGGGCCGGCCATATCGGTATCGGAGGCTCTAACAGTAGTTAGAACTCGTTCTCCGGGTTCTGGTCGCTCGGTAAGGGTTTTTGAGGATTTCTCAGCTTCCTTCTCCGCCATCTCCATAGCAATCTCGCCAGGAGATCGGGAAGCCGTTTGTTCTTCGTCCACATTTTCAGCTGCTGCTTGCTGGTGTGCTCTTTTTTGTTCAAGCAATTCCCTTTCAGCCTCTTCCTTTGATTTTGTAACCATCGAAATGAAGTTGATGAAACGATCACCATATGCAACTGGAGGAATTGCTGATATCAAAAGTTTTCTACCAGAAAAGCCTTTCCAGAAATGCTCCAGCTTTTTAATCATGCCATACTATGAGTAAAAAAATTAGTATCAAGCGTATAGCCTTGCAGCATATTAATTCACTTACATGAGTCAGACAATCTATTACACCAAGGTAATAAATCTCATTACCAAGAACTCCATCTTCATGGGTCGATCTCAAACCAGCCTCGTCGGAGTAAAAGACGTGATTTGTTCGTTCATCAAGTATCTCATCGGGCATTCTGGCCGTTGTTTGTTCCATCGGGACGGGCTTTTCTCGCTTAATGATTTCCCGTAATTCCCTGGCCTTTCGTGCATGCTCTAGTCTTGACGGAGTTCTCATCAGCAAATTTGGTGGCTGCTCTTCGACACCTTCACCGCCAGGTTGAAAAACTTGCAACGTTTTATCGCGTAGCTTTTCCTCGTTACCCTTCTCGACATCATGAATACCGACGAGCAGTGAGTAGTCCATGATTTTCAGTCGCTGAAGCAAGGCAACATCTCTCCGCAACTGCGCCAGAAATATATCTCGTTTCATTGGTCCCAGTTCGAGGTGACGATGCCTTCGTAGCCAGTTTAGATCTTTCAAAGTTGCTCTCGGGTTGGTTTCCAAATCTTCTTCCCGAAAGTCCCTACCAATAGTAGAGCCTTTAAGATCAAACATCTGGTGAATATCTTTGTGCGGAGGGAAGAGGTTATTCATAACAACAAAATGGATCTTCCGGCCGTATGCCATCTTGACACGATGTAAGCCATAGAACTGGGAGATGAGAGTATTTGGGTTGTTCTCAATGTGCTCATAGTAGTCTCGAAGTATGCGGCGAAGAAACTTATGCTCAGAATGGTGAATTGTCTTGATGATATATCTGTAGTCGCGAGAGAAGTAGAAAAAACTACCACTTTTCCCAGGCGACCCGAGTTCTGATAGGATATACTTGCTAGTGAGCGACATCAGATAGTCGGCAGGGTCGAGTTGGAACTTTGCCCGCAGGTGACGAAAGACCCACGGGGCATAATCCTTGAATTTGAAGTCATATTTTGCAGATGGCGTCAGTTCGTTACCGGTTCTGTAGGTTGGTCAGCAAGGCGAGTACACAGTTATCTCGAGGTGGGGCTAATACGTACATATCAAAGGAGAACTTGTGTTTTGCGTTAAAATCAGCATCTGTGAGCTCGCGGTCTAATTTTGCATTCGTTCTTGAAACAGTGAAACGAATTCCGGTCAACATGTTATACGCAGTGACGTAATTGACATGGTTCTGATCAACCTTCGTCCCAACGATAACACGCTCGTCATCATCGTCATCACGTTTTCTCCGCTTACTCGCCCTCCTGTGTTTAATGGCTTCCGTCCATCGTGCAGTCTCTTCTTCTGGAGCGCCGTCGTCAAGATGGAGGTCTGATTGGATAGATCTTGGAGCTCGGCGGGCCAGGCTGAGAGATCCTCTTCGAAGGCCAGACGTAGAGGAAAGCCGATCACTCGTAGTAAGATTGTCCTCCGAAGGGCTGGTACCAAATGGGTCTCGTGTGGGTTTTCTTCCGGATGATGCTCTAGGAACTTGGAGGGTATGTCGATGAGCCAGACGCGGACTATGGGGGCTAGGAGGTGAGGCGGAATGCTCAAAATCCGTTTGCAGTGTGGCGGGAGGGGACGAATGTCGGTTTCCTGTCTGGTCTGGCTGTGGGATTGGGATAGGTGCGGTGACAGGAGCAGTAGTAGGAGATACAGAGGTAGATAGAGTGGGTTCCACTGAGAAACTATCAGGAGATGATATATTTCCATTAACAATCGGCTTGGCGCTGGGAGATTGAGTAGAGTGGATGCCATTTGGGGTAGGAGGGCTCGGCACCGCGTCGATTTGTGTGTCAGTGCCATTCGTCATGGTATATTTCCCATGATCCTTGCCTGCTTTATTGTGCTCCCTCACTGAGGCAGCCTCGAGAGACAGTAGGCTCCCATTTCTCGAATGGGAGCGCTCGAGGCCGTGTGACGATACAATGGACTTGTTTGTATGCGGGAGAGACTGAAAACTGCCGGCTTTGAAGTTCGTCATGAAGAATTCGGAGGAGGAGTCGACGTGGCCGTTCTCCCCGTTAGCTTCGCTGGCCCAAACAAAAGCATTAGTCAAGGATGATCGATCGTGGGATTTTCGTGGCGGCTGGTTGAATATCGGAGAGGGAGACGTGGTGCGTGGTCGGAGATGGGCTTGGGACTCTTGGGTGGTGGTAACGGCGGGCATCGTAGGTTACTGGCACGAGGACCGGCCAGACCGCCCTCCGGTCACTGGGAATTAAGTCGAGGAGGATGAGGCAGCGGAGCACCTGTTTGTAGCCAGGTCCTTTTAACTGTAGGAGGATCGCAGGGGTGATTTGGACCAAAAGGGAGTTGTACAAGTCACCCTTTGCCTAGGCGTTGCAGGCAAGAGAGGACAGAGCCACAGCCCTCAGCATCATAAGGAGGAGTGAATCCAGCAAGAGTAGGGTCTGCAGCCGGGGCAAACAGAACTAAAAACGAACCTGAAAACGGCCGATGGAAATTGTCGAGGGGGAGAGAGGACGGGGCGTGTCGGTTGTTTGATTGCAGCGCAAGGGCCTGCTCGCTCAGGCAAAGTGAACTGAACCCAACACACGCTGTTTGCCCGCCCGCCAAATCAGCCAAGCCGCGCTAGGCTCGCCGTGTCTCCAGCCACACATCGGCTAATTTTGGAACGGCCGCGAGTGCTTGGGGGAGTAACGGGCATGGAGGATGCCGGCGCTGGGGGTGTGTGCACGCTTAGAAGAAGCGGTAGGCTACCCGGGAGCCGTTATTCGCATGGCTATCGACAGCGTGTGCCCAATCTCAACATCAGCGCCAGTGTACGTTGCCAGCAATTTCACAAGGCTGACGACGCCATGGCACAGCCTTCCGGGGCCGAGTTAGCGCGTGGCTTGCAGCTGCTCCAACCGCCCAGGGTCCACGCGAACGGGACAGGGAAGGGCGGCGCGATCAACAACTGAAAAGATGCATTTCATTAACTGCATAGAGGCCACACGGCACGCGGGAGAAGAACGGTGACAAGTTCATCTTCTCTCCAGACTATTGAACATGCACACAAAAATATAAAACTTAAAACACAAAAACCCATATTTCCCATAAAACGGACGATATCAAGTAGAAAACGAATAGCACAGTCCGTCCTTCCCTAATTCCACCCCGACGCCATTTCGTTTCCCATGACACACAAAAGAAAGCTCACCCCATACGAGCTGGCCTGGAATAGAACATCTAGATTCGAAAACAGGCCGTGCAGTTGTACCACGAGAATGCAGGATGAAGATGAAAAAAAAAAAAAAAAAGGAGCAGGCACTGGAAACAGAGAACCAACACCGCAAGGCAGACCAAGAAAATTACAAGCAAGCGCACAAGGAAATTCAGTCAGGCTCATGCCTCTGATTTCTTAGGCGTGGCTGTCTTCTTCTTCTTGTCCGTTGCTCGCTTCTTAGGAGTCCCAGCCTTCTTGGGTGTGGTGACGGGTGCAGATTTGGCGGTGGTCTTGGTGATTCGGCCGGACTTAGTCTTACCAATGACCTGGGGGACATCAACGATAGCTGGGGCCTGCAACCAAAAAGTTAGAATGGTATCAGAGGCAGTATAGTTCACAAGAGTGAAGATGAAGAGGAACATACAGCTACGGGCGTCTTGCGTTGTTTAGAAACATTGGCCTTGGTATCGGTTGACTTTTTGGTGCCCTCCTTTTTGCTGGTGCTAGTAGACTTTGCCTTCGTAGTCTTTTTCTTCGTGGCGGTAGAAGTCTTTTTGGTGGCTGGCTTGGTGGCAGCAGCAGTAGTAGCAGTTGAAGTAGCAGCAGCAGCAGCAGCAGCAGGCTTCTATTGAAGATCCATTAGTATCTAACCAGAGAAAATAGGCGAAATACGCTGGTTCATACCTTAGCAACAGCCTTAGCAGCAGGCTTCGTAGCCTCCTTCTTAGCAAGCTTAAGGGGGCCGGAGGGACCTGTAGATGTAACAACGCGTTAGCAAAATTAATACGACACGTAAAGACGGACGGCAACATGATCCCAGATCTTCAAATCAAGGAATAGTGGGAGACTTTGCCTCGAAGGCATAGGCAACGTACCCTTTGGCTGCAGGAATTCACCCTTCTCCACGCCGGCCTTCACGGCACGGTTAAACTGGACATCGAACGCGCTCTGGGATGCCACATTGAGGCTATTGTTGTTGCGCACATACTTCTTCAGTGCTTGACGGCTAAAGGAAAACAGGATCGGTTAGCTTTATTCTTGATTGTCATAGCCCGGTGCGCTGACACGTCACAGCCGGATTGACGGCCAGCAAGGCGCGCACGAAGGCGCGGGCAGGAACAACAAAACAACATACCTGCTTCCAGTGCGTTCTTTAAGCTGTAGACAAAGGTCGATTAGCCTCTCGAAGCAAAATGCTACTGATGCGACACAGGAATTGGTGGTGGGTGGTGGGGGATGCCGGATCAGGCCGGGAAGCCGCCAGCCTAAACAAACAGGCGCGAAGTTGATGTACTCACATTGATGATGGCATCCCGGATCATATCTATATCAAACGAATCAGCAAAGGCACGCGATCGCGAATACTGTAGCGACGTCTCGCCACAAGGTGGTTGTCGTGGAGGATCAAGAGGTCAAAGACCGCGCTTGGGGTCTCACCTTTGTAGGAAGCATGGGTGGCGGTGGTCTTCGTGCTGGCAGCAGCGGCTTTCTTGGGAGGCATGGTGGACGAGTTTGGCCTGCAGAATACCGTGTAGAATCGATGCGAGAATGCGAAACACGTCGATAGCTCGATAGAAACGCGATGGATGGGAGCGGGTTGGGCAGATGTTGTGGGCAAGACAAGTTTGGGGAACGGAAAACGGTGGGCAGAGCGCGGGCGGCGGGGCAGGGGGCGCTCTTTATAGGAACGCCAACACTGGCACAGGATCAACCACTCCTGTTGCTTGTCGGTTTTATTCTTTTTTTGCTCGCGCGCTGGGGCGCTACTGATAAGTGTTTTGTCTGTGTTCTATTTAAGCGAAAAACCGGCTGGATGTCCCGGGGTGCGGGCATGCAGCTGTTGTTTGCAGGCGCATCAACTACCGTCTCCCCCCATCACCCGCCCATCCTGATTTACTCCCCATTGTCACCTGCCAGATACCGCGCGCCCGCTTTGGCTTGACCGAGTCGAGGCGGGTTTCCCCAGACCATGGATTCCTTGGTATAACAAGCGCTGCGAGGTCTTTTCGGCCTATTATTATTGGTGTGTCGTCTCGTTACGTTGAACTACCCTCGTGTCGTTGCTCTTGTCGCCGCGCGATCGGTGGCTGGCATTGCAGTTCGCGACTCCCAAGTCATGCGCGCTTTTTCCATCTCGGCCATAATACTTTCAATCATCCCCGGCGATCACTCACCTCAGTAAATAAGCATCAGTGACTATGCGATGCGAAATAGCCATTATTGGCTCGGCTTCTACTGCAGAGCTCCTAGCAGCCATCCTTGTTTTGCGCCAGAGCAAGCGCTGCACCCCCTCATGAGGCGGGCGCTTCGGACGTCAATGCCCAAACAAGCCCAGCGTGATACTCAGGCTGACACTAGTTTCACCGGCCCTTTGACCGCTGGGGAGCATCGAGTCCTGCTGTCCCGGTGTACAGCTCCCAGGCTGCAAAGTGCCGCATGCCTGTTGATCTAGAATCGCGACTAACTAGTTCCCGCGCCTCTTGGCTGCCATCATCGTCGACCTCGATCAACTTTCGTCCCATCAGCCTGCGCCAAGACCATGCCCAATATCAACCTCTCCTGATCCTCACCACACGAGCGCAACCTGCCTGTTTTTCAGAGTGTTATATGCCTCTAGAGCTAGTTCTGGAGTGCTGCCGCCATGTAATGCTCTTCTTGATTTCTGTTATTCCAGCGTATCGCTCCCAGAAGCCGAACTGCCCCCTAATAGATGTGATCCTTGGATCGTCTCAGGGGTCCTACAGGCCATCGCTACTCCGTGCAATGCGCAACTTCAAGCGGTAGCAGAAAAGTAGGCCATCGAATAACATTGTATATACAAGCGCTAGAGCTCTAAGCGTGTGCGGTTCTTTCTGGCACCAACCTAATCGTCTCCCGTTGTCATGGCGCCCACGAGAGTGCCGTTCATTCATGACTCCCACAGCTACTAGTCCGTAAGAATATAATAAAGAGCCTGCAATTCTTCAAATGTCCGTTTTAGAGGCTAAGTTTACTTCCCAAGTATAACGCCATTGACCCGTTAATCGCCCAAATAGCCCAAATATACTCCGTAATATACATTCCTACCCCGTCCCTTTCGGCCTCGATCTCGCGTCTTTTTTGGCCTTTGCATCCTCCTTTTTCTTCTTCTTCGCCGCTTCTAATTTTTCCTCGTGCTTCCGTTTCATACTCGCTTTTTCTGCGTCTGTTTTTGCGACTGGCTTGAAGAAACCTTCTAATCGCGACTGTTGTGCCGTTTTTAAATTCTTTTGCAATCGCGCTGCGCCGCTCCGCACGCGATCTTCATTAAACCCCTTTCCTTCAACCAAAAATTTTACTAATCCTTCAACATCAGGAGCGTCCCATTTGAAATCACAGTCCGGATGATCAGCAGACCGAACATCCGGCTCGAAGAAGAGATCGCGAGCTTGCTCGTAAGGCCAATCCTCCGGTAAGTTGTACTTCTTTTTAGGGTCATTCTGGATAGCCTCGACCACTTTTTCAAGGGTCCCATGGTCGCGGATCATCTTAAGTGCTGTGTTGGGACCAACTTTGGGAATTGGATCCACATAATCGCAACCCAGCAAGATGCACAGGTCAACAAACTAAGAAAAGCTCCCAATTAGTTTGCAGCGGCATACATTGACGCAAAAGTGATTGGGTTACCTGTTTTCTGTCCATCTGTAGCCCTTCCAGAACCCGATCTAAATGAATCTCCAAAATTGGTTCTTTCCTCTGTTCGCTGAATGTGAGATGTCGCAATAAAATCGGCGAGTCAAAACATAACGTATCCATATCCTCTGATGCAGCAGCATACACTTTTCCCGCCCTCGCCAACACCGCGCACTGCGCCTCTGCCTCCGTCGGAGCATCAATGTATGGAATACCCATCAACTTCAACAGCCGTTTGCATTCTTCATTGTGTTCTCTAGTTACTCGTACTGTGCGCCTCGAGAACTTCTCCACTTCTTCTGCAGTACCGGTCTCCTTTGCTTCCTCATGCTGTTCGGCCGCTTCCTGTTTACGAGCCATCCGCTTGGCAAGCTCACCGGATTTCAGTTTGGGAGGAGCGCCGTCGAACACGTAGAGGGGTTTGATACCATTGTCGACCATGCGCAATGTGCGGTAAAAGAAGCCCATTAAATGAGAGGTGGTCTCGCCAGTCTCGTTCATGAGCTGCTGTCCATCGGAGCGGACTGCTATGAGAAAGCTATAGATGCTCATGGAGCTACACGAGGTGTTATCAATAGGATCCAATCAATAAAGGTACGCCCGGGGAAGGTCCATACGCATCCTATATCATACCACATTTCATGTTAGAGATATACGCATAATATTGGGGAATAGAAGTGAAGGGCATACAATCGCGACTTTCCTCCCAAATTGATTCTTAATTTCCCCAGTTTTAATCGAGTCAGGTGCATTTTCAGATATTATTTGGTAGAGGTCTATATCACAGCTTTAGCAAAACCTTGTAGGTAACGGTTTGTGACATGAAAGGTAGTGAAAAACATACGTTTTATACCCATGGTGAAGAGCGAGGCAGCTGTCGCAAGGACTCGAATTGAAACTGAGTGTGAAGTGAACGTGTGCTGGTCGAATAGTGACTTGACAAAGGTGCGCACTAATAATGCCCAGGCTACAGAGTGCCTAGAGAGTGAAATATAAGGTGAATTTAGAGGTTTGCTCAGTGAGAGCTCTTTGACGCGCGCGCGGTCACTGAATGGATGGACGCGATTCAATCATGCCTAATCCGGTTTAGTGTGAACGCTGCCCGCATTATAAATTTCTCCAAAAATCTTGTCTGTCCGCAATATAAGCTGGCTCAATAAACTGAAGAAATATTCCAACAGAGATCCCAGACCCATTCCTCAGTGATGAAATCGCTGGCCCTGGCAGAGTCTCCGACTCTTTAAAAAACCAAGATAATTTATTGAATTTTTGTTGCAATCTGAATTATATGACTAGTAATATTAATATGTGGCATAAGCAGTGGTTCCCAAAAGAAAGATAACTCTTAATCCTAATCAAGAGGATATGACTGATATTATCCATGAGAATATAAAAGAATGGCCACAAGATGTCGACATCTAAAGAGTCAAATTAAGTGACTTATCGGTCATATTAAAACAACATCTACAGCAATTCCTGAATCCATCAAATACCTTTCAGCGCAGCGTATGCGGATGACACCTACCTAATATACCGAAACAGAGCTGAAAAAGAGGCGTTGTGGCAGTGTCTAACACCCTACTCGGAAGCTGCAGATGGTCAAATAAATTTCCACAAGTCTTTCACCATGAAAATAGGAAAAGGGGACACCCTAACCTATGAAGGAACAACACTGTTAGAGGAACAGCATTACATCCATCTTGGAATACCAGTTGGTGTCAAAATTGAGCATGGAACCCTTGAACACTGGAAACTGATGCTCCAAAGAGTGACAAAAATTATAAATGGCCCAATCAATAGTCACTTATCTATAAAAGGCCGATGCTTAATTGCAACATCCCTGATCATGTCTGTTCAAAGATACTCCATGAGATTCTTGACACCTCCAGCAAACCTGTTGCAAGAATTTGAACGACAATATTTCCGAATGATATGGGATGGAGCTGAGAGCCTGAGAGAGAAAAAATCAACAGGGTATATGCACTTCTCCCTACAAAGTTGGAGGTCTCCAATGTCAAGACATTGCAAGTATAAGGGATGCTCTAGCAATCATGCACTTTGCTAGAATGGAATCACATCCAGAGCTCCCATGGGTGCAAATACGAGGGCAAGACCTAAGAGAAACAAAGTCCAGAACAAAAACAGTAAGAGAAAAAAAGGTCTCCCACCCGTGGAGACAAAGAATCTCAAACCGTAGCACATGATTTGCCCCATATATCTCAAGTCGATATTAACTTTCAAGCTTCTGTGCTCAGTGCTATTTAGAAACCTCAGTCCCTAGGGCCACATTGGCCCCAAGGTATGGCTTCAAACAGGAGCTTCAAATTATCCTGTGATGCAGACACAGCCCAGGGCGATCGATTCTTATGATCCATTATTCTGGACACGGTGTGCCCAATAATCTGAATGAGCTTGCACTATCTAGCAAAATTAAAAAAATGATAAGAAGACTACACTTACATTCAATTGGGTAACAGTATATGAGGCAGGGCCCCGTCACAGATAAAGCACTTGAAATTTGAAGAAATGAACATGATCGGAACTATCTACAGTTCATAAAGATTTGGTGCCTGAATCTACATCATCATCACCGTCATCGGGTTATTTCAATAAATACTCAAACGTGCCATACATCTTATCTTCCACAATTTAATTGACAGAATTGGATCCAATATCTGATACATTTTCAGTCACAAGAGGACATCAATTGATATCGTAAATGATTTCAATACTGTCTCGAAAAGAACGTGGAACACACTGAAGCATAAATTTAAAACTAATTTAGCAAACAAATCATATTACAGAGATGCTTCTCTTAAAATTCTCTAGAGAGTCGGCAGCAGAAAGCCGCTGGCCTACTTGAAACTCAAGCTAGCCCGCCTAGTGAATGTCGGGCGGCACACCCCTGACGGACCGCACTTTGTCCCTCAGTTGATGTCATTTATCAAATCAGAGAAGAGTTGCTGTGCTAAATAGGCGGAGGTATTTAAACAGCCAAGTGAGATACTCCTTAGATATGATTGTCATTCTGCCAACCAACATAAACTGAAGGCACAGATTACACATCCCACTAAATCAAGAATCGACGCAGACCCCCCGGCCCCAGGGGCCATGAGGGATATCCCTCTTGGTCAATCTCCCCCAGCCCAGTCATATGTGTCTCAAAATAATTTTTGGTCAAGTCTGGTTCTGGTTGAGTTAGGTACTTTGGTGTTGCTCTTTCTTTTCTTTGCTTGGTTAGTTGGTTTTTTATACTTGTTGGTGGTGACAGAGTGCGATGACCTTTCGGAATGGTATGGTATGGAAAATTGGAAGCTCTGCAGCACTTATCTCACGAATCACAAGGAGTAAGAAGAAAAATCTTGGGGGAGGCCGATTATTGGACGTTGCATGCAACTCATTCCAGCACACTCTAGTCAAACACAAGGTGGATAAAATATCAGCTCCGGTCTTTTTTCAATGCTACTCGGAATGGTGACAAATATTCCCACAAAAGAGGGCGCAACTAGAGTGCGTATGTGGCCAAGGTAGCACACGCAGTGTTGGTCTGAGCCTTTGGAAGATGTGCGGCTATAAAGGTCCTTGCCTTAAAGACCTTGACGGTCTATTAGCATATGGTGATTCTGAAAATTCGATACCATGATTGAACATATTAAACCATGCCTCAGTCTATAATGTTTTATGAAAAGGCAGTTCCATAGCTTCAGTCGAATGTCAATAAGTCTTTTCTCTTTTCAGATGGAGTAAATGATCTTGCTCTGTTACAACACCAAGTGACTGGAGTAGTTGAATACAGAAGCTTATGCTCATCAATCGTCCAAGAGAAATCTGCTCTTCAGACATCACCGAAAGCGGAGCAGGCGGTGTTAATCTCAGATGGGACTGGGGGAATAAAAATAACGGCTATAACCACTAGGTAGGCATGGTTATCTCAGAGCAGAATAATTGGGGTGATATGGCAGGGACACTGGGTGTGGGATGGCGTTCTATATCTTACCCGAAGAGGTTGTGCAACTTAGGGGAGAGTTGATGGAACCAAGATGTACGTAACTATATAAAAGTTGGTGCTTTGAGCCGGAGTAGCTAAATTGCGCCGGGCCGGTGTCGGGCTATAGAAACAGCCGTGCAGGAAGCACTCATTCCCACAGATCCGCAGTCTGCTGTCTGTCTGGCGCAATGCCGGCTCGCTCCACGGGTCGGCCAGGGGCAACGGTAACGCTGCGATACCGGAGTATTACACCGATGGGCATGTAGCTTTGTCATTGTTGGGCATGTATTTTATCGCTGTACAGTGGCACTTGGGAGATGGCAGGAAAAAATCTCGAAAATCACACCAATAGATTGTTTGGGCATACGTATTTCTGGTCCTTAGGCACCAAAGCATCCCTTTCCTATACTGATAAGCCACACCTGTTCCAATCCATGCACTTCTTACAGGGTACCTGGCGATACGCCGTGGTAATGAATATTACCCGAGAATTACGGCCGGCAGTTTGCACCTAAGAACGTCAACGCCGAAGATCGCCCGGCAGAAGCTGATGGCGTCGTGTATAAGAACTCCACGATCCAATTGATTTGGCGAGACTATTGCCAAGGCATATACCTTTCCCTAGACTTCCCTCTGAGACCCTCCATTTCTCGTCAGACAGTGAATAAACACGACTGTCAGAATGAGCACCCCTGCTTTAAGGCATACCGTGCGGGGCGCCCTCAATGCAACCAAAACTACTTCCCACCGTGCTGCTCAACGTTTCGCTTCATCCTCAGCTGTTAGATTCGACTGGCAAGACCCTCTCAATGTTGCAAACATCTATACTCCCGAAGAGCTGGCCATTGCGGACACAGCAAGACAGTACTGCCAAGAGCGGCTTTTGCCCCGGGTGTTAGGTATGTCTCGTGAACCGCATTATATGCGGGAAGATGGGGGAGATGAAGCTAAATTGTTTCCAAATGTCAGAGGCGTACCGAAATGAGAACTATGACAAGGCCATCCTACAGGAAATGGGAGAGCTGGGGTTACTTGGGGCAACGATCGACGGATACGGCTGTGCCGGTGTGAGCACGGTTGCGAATGGCCTGATTATCAAGGAGGTAGAACGCGTTGACTCTGGCTACCGATCGGGCATGTCGGTGCAAAGCTCTCTGATCATGACTGGAATCTACGAGTTTGGCACCAAGGAACAAAAGGAGAAATACCTTCCTGGCCTCGCAAAGGGCAAGTTACTTGGTTGCTTTGGCCTCACGGAGCCTAATCATGGATCCGACCCGGGCTCCATGGAGACTATCGCAAGACAGCATCCCACTAAGAAGGGTTACTACTCGCTCACAGGCGCAAAGACGTGGATCACCAATTCCCCAATATCCGACCTCCTTCTCGTCTGGGCTAAGCTGGAGTCAACGGGAAAGATTAAGGGCTTCGTTGTGCAGCGGGACCAATGCCCTGTGGGGACGCTAGAAACCCCGGCTATCAAGAATAAAACCGCTCTTCGCGCCTCAATCACCGGTATGATCCAGCTCGACAACTGCCCTGTTCCAGAGGAGAACATGCTTCCCGACGTTGAGGGGCTTGTAGGTCCCTTTACCTGCCTCAACAGTGCGAGATTGGGGATTGCGTTTGGGACCATGGGCGCGTTAGAAGATTGTATCGACCGCGCAAGAACGTACTCCCTAGAGCGCAAGCAGTTCAAAGGGAACCCTCTGGCCAAATACCAACTGATCCAGAAGAAACTCGCCGATGCAACGACCGACGCGGCATATGGAACACTAGCTGCAGTCCAGGTTGCAAGACTCAAGGATGAAGGAAAGTGCCTGCCGGAGATGATCTCGATGATCAAAAGGCAGAATTGTGACCGAGCGCTCGTGGGGGCCAGAATGTAAGTGCCGCCCGTGCTACTGCGATCTTATTAACCCCGGAGAATTAACACAGCATTGTTTATTTATAGACTACAAGAAGTGTTCGGCGGTAATGCAACTAGTGACGAGTACCACATTGGCCGCCACGTGGCTAACCTGTTTGTGACCCAGACGTACGAGGGACAGAGTGACATCCATAGTGAGGCCCCATATCCCTTTTCTAAAAGAAGGCGTGAAACAAGAGTTGCTAACAGTTTTGTGCAGGTTTGATCTTGGGAAGGGCGATTACTGGCGTGCAGGCGTTTTGCTAAGCGCCGGCCAAGTATAGACTGCGTTATTATGTACAGTAGTATAAACCCCTGCCTGCTCGCGTGAGGTTGCACTAGTATAGTTATACACATTTGGATGGATACATATAATTTTTGCGATAGCCACTTAAAATTGTCTAATTCCGATGTTTCCCAAGGGGCTGTGACAGCGCTTCGAGGTAGCCGAGGATCATTGGTCGCGATGCAAGCGCCAGAAAACCCCCGTCAACGCTCGTATCAGGCATGACAGGTGTCAACTGTCGGATATTCACAGCGGCCGTATTACCAGCTTCAATCTCCGTCTGCTCAGTGAAATCATGCCCTCCATCACTGCAAGCGTGCAAAACCTCGGCCGCGATGCCGGAGCAGCCAAGACGGTCGTTCCCGCAGGAGTGGATTAGTCATGGGCGCTGTGCCCCCCGCTAGCCCGATGCGACTAGCGTAGGATGGCTTATCTCAGCGGGGGGCCGCGTACGTAAGCGGGCGATACGGCTAGCAGCGACAATACCGTACGGGCTGCGTTTTTCGCGTTTCTTTTCTTTTCCTCCCGCTTTCCACGCTCGCCGTCTCGCCGTCGCCCAGAACGCTGCCCGTCCGTCACTGCTGCCCGTCCACCGCGCCTGTGAGTCTCGCCGTGCCCGCTCTCTGCGTGTATATAAAGGCCCTTTCTTCTGCTCCTCAAGCACGCTGCCTCTTCTTGCTTGCCCTCTCCGCCACTGACCACTGCGTTCTCAGCCTCCTCCAGCCTCAAAGTCGAACCCAACCTAAAACAGGGACTCAAATCTTAGTCGCCCCTCAGTGCCTCCCTCGTCCACCCACAACCCTTCTCGACTCCCACCCTCCACCCGCTCATATTCTCCAGATGGCTCTCAAGCGAATCAACAAGGAACTCTCAGATCTCGGGCGGTGAGTACATGTCGCTTCTGTTTTGTGTGCCATCGGGGGCTGAAATGACCCCGCCTGCGGGGCATCAAAAACGCCTGCCGTTTTGCCGGCTGCCAGAAGGGCAGCACAGCGTCCTGGGATGGCCGATATACTAGATCTGAAGGACAGATCGCTGACGAGATTCATAGTGACCCTCCGTCCTCCTGCTCTGCAGGCCCCGTTGGAGATGACTTGGTATGTCGGCCTTTGCCTGCCCTCCAGCCCTTGCCTGGTGTCGCGTGTTGGAAACCGTTTCAGGGTCCTGGCCGTGTCGAACCACGGCTGCTCCCGTTCATGGATATGGCCAGTAACTAACAGTGAATCAGTTCCACTGGCAAGCTACGATCATGGGACCAGTGAGTCACATTTGCCCCCCTAATACTTGAGAGCGCTTGATGGCTAAACGACACATCTCAAATAGGGTGACAGTCCGTACACTGGCGGTGTCTTCTTCCTGAACATCAACTTCCCCACCGACTACCCATTCAAGCCCCCAAAAGTTAACTTCACCACTCGCATCTACCACCCCAATATCAACTCCAACGGAAGCATCTGCCTTGACATCCTCAGAGACCAGTGGAGCCCTGCCCTCACCATTTCGAAAGGTATATTATATAGATTTAAGTGAAGATGGGTTTCCCCAATATTTACTAATTTTTGTAGTTCTCCTCTCGATCTGCTCGATGCTGACTGATCCCAACCCGGACGATCCTCTGGTTCCCGAAATCGCCCACGTTTACAAGACGGATCGCCCGCGCTACGAGGCCACGGCCCGCGAATGGACACGGAAGTACGCGATTTGATCGTAGGTGACTGCGACCTGCATGGCCAACTTCAGATCAACCTTCCTCCCTCCCCTTTTAACGGCTCGTGGTGCATTATCTCCCTGGATTTGATGGGCTGGTGCGAATGGGTGTATGACTTGGGTGGTGTTTTTTTTGCTGTGTGCTTAGCCATAAAAGAAAAAAAAAACTACCCTTTTGGTTTTCCTCCGGCAAGCTCATTTTAGATCCATCCATGCTTCCTCCTTTTCGCTCTATGTGTGTGTGTGTGCAATCACTCGTACTCTCCCTCCCTCTCTCTCTCCCTCTTGATTTTTTTCTTTGCCTTTATTTTTTTTCTTGTCTTGCTTTATAATGAAATACCATGACCCAAGCATTCTATGTCTGCAGACCGCTAGTGATGTAGTTATCCTCCTGACCTGCGCAAACTTTTCCTCCCTCTGATCCTGCACATGACTAGTACTATCATCATTATTCATACTCCCAAAACTCGCCACAGATCCCCCGGCCTCTCAACCCAACTGCCGTGCTACCTTAACTATATGTAAGTCCCGCCAAACCGGCTTAGAAATCATCCGCCTTTTTTCTTTCTTACGGTTTCTTTTCGCTCCTTTTCTCTCTCTCCTGGGCTGTACGACAGATATCTGCGGCTGGGCCATTCCAGCAAGATATCTTACGACAAGAGAGATCTTTCGCGCGATCGCCGCCGCAGTGAAAAAAAAAAAAAAAATAAATAATAAACCTGATAACACAACATATGTATGTATATACTAGTTTCTATTTCATGCACCATTACAGCGTACAAAAAGCAAGCAGAAGTCTTGGTCTATTCAGCATTGAATGCATGTCCTCATGAGTCAAGGAAATTCAAAACAGGGCTGGAGAAGGGTTCACAGAGAGGCTGCTAGCAGGTTGTGAGTGGTTGGTTGGTTGGTTAGTTATTTCGTGTGTAGAGTGCTGCTGTGGACGGGACGAAAACTATTGCAGGAGAAAAAGCGCTGAGAGGGGAAAGGGGAAGTAGAGACGAAAACAAAACAGAACCCAGATTATTATATATAATATGTAGAAGTTAAATAGAATAAAATAAAAATAGAAAAAAAAACAAAACACCATTCAATGATACCAAGCACCATATATATGTCTTTTTCCAAATTCCATGTCTTTTGGCTCACTCAGCAACAAAATACAAAAAAGCCAAAATTCTGTTAATTCTATCCTCATATTCACTCCTTCATTCTCATCCGACGATTCTTTTACTTCCGACTCCTCCCACTCTTCCTCGACACATTGCTCCCGATCTGACTCACGCTGTCACTCGGCAGCACCGGCTCGTCGAACTTGCTGCCGCTGCCGCTGCCGCGCAGGCTGCTCGCGCTCAGACTCACCGTCGAGCCGCGGCGCGAGCCCGACCGCGAGCGCCGCCGGCGGGATGACGTCGTCGTCGTCGTCTTGCGCGACGCACGGCTGCCGCCGCCATCGGGCAGCACCGTGGGCAGCGTGACGTGCGAGTCGACGTCGACGTCGTCGAGGAAGATGGTGCTGGTGCCGGCGATGCTGGCGGGCAGGGGCACGTGGCGGGCGGCGGACGAGTGGGTGGTGGTGCTGCGCTTGCTGTTGCTGCTGTTGCGGGAGGCGGCTTTGGAGGAGGAGGTGGTGGTGCTGGTGATGGTGGTGACGGAGCCGCTGGGCAGCGGGATGTTGCGCGCGGAGTAGTAGCCGGAGGCGGTGGTCGACGGGGCTTTGTCGTAGATGTCGTTGATGGTGATGACGGAGCGCGACGAGTGCGAGCGGTGCGAGGAGGCCGGCCGCGAGTGGCTGGACTTGGGCGGCTTGATGGTCGACGACGACATCACGCTGCTGCTGCCGCTCTGGCCCGAGTAGCTGCTGCGGCGGTCCTCCTCGAAGCGCCGGCGCGGCCGCTCGGTGAAGCTGCTGATGAACGTGCTGGGGTTGCGGTGGTTGTTGTAAGGGAATTCAGACGCCCCGTCGTAGTCATCGGGGATGCCCTCGATGGCACGCAGCGGCATCTCACCGGTGGCGTAGACGATGCTGCCGCTGGACGAGCGGTGCATCTCGGGATGCTGCTGCAGCTGCTGCATCTGGGGGAGGTTATTGCCGCCGCCGGCCAGCGTGGCGGCCTTGCTCAGCAGCTGCGTGCACTGCTCGATGCCCTCGAAAATGGTGCTGGCACGCGGGTTCTTGGAGTACGTGGTGCGGGCGTAGGCGGAGATGCCGTCGTCCACGGACATGGACCGCTGCGGCGGGCCGAGCGCCTTGTACTCTGACGGCGCCTGGTTGGCCGCGTACGCGAGCGGCTCCTCCGTGTATCGCGGCGGCGCGGGCTCGGTCGGCGGCGACTCGCCCTTGACCATGGCATATGCAATGGCGGCGCCCGCGGCGGCGCCCAGGAGCGTGCCCACGACGGCTTTGGCGCCGCTGAGATTATCCACGGGCTTCGCCACGGAAGACTGCGCGGGCTGCTGGAACGCGGACGCCGTGGATTGCTGCGGTTGCTGCTGGTAGGTCGTCTGTGCCGGCGGCTGCTTCGCTACGGACACGGTCGACTTGGCCACGGCGGTCCGCTCGATAGACGGCAGAGTCCTGCTCTTCGCAACGCTGACGGAGCTGCGGCGGGCCACCGATCCAACCTCGGACTTGGGCACGCGGCTGCTGCTCTTGGTGGACACGGCGCGGGAGACGTACGAAGCGCGGTCGACGACGGTCAGAGCGCGGTCGTCAGTGGCGCTGGCGGCAGCAGCGCGGGCGCGGTGCACGGCCTCAATGCTGTTGCCGTCGAAGTCGATGACGGCGGCGCTGTAGTAACCCTGGTCGGCGTCGCGCAGACATGGCTCGCCGTGGATCTTGCCGCCGGCCTTGAGGGCGGCGATGAAAAAAGCACCGACAGCGTCGTGCGAGGGCGCGGGGAAGGCGATGTGGGCGGCGCCGGCGGGCACGCTGGATCAGTTAGACAGAACAGATAGTTACATATCAAGGGACTCACCCCGGGCGCTCTTCGGCGATCCAGAAGTCGGCGGGCTGGCCGGGCTCGGCACCGAAGCCGATGCTGTTCTCATGGCGGCCGATGAAGCGGTAGCCCAGCGGCTGCAGACACGACAGGAAGAAGGAGGTCGACTGCGGCAGGTTGGAGACGGTGAGCGTGAGGTGCGAGACGGGCATGGTGGAGGTCAGGGAGTAGACGGAGAAGAAGAGAAGAAGAGAATAAGAGAAGGAGAAGAAAAGAAGAAGAAGAAGAATGGAGGGAGGGATATATCACAAGGCCATCAATCGTACAGGATATCAAGATATAAGAGAAATCCACGCTGATTCTTGATGCACGCAAGAACGACGTCACACGCACTGCAGCACAAGGAGCAACAGCAGCAGAAATAGCAGCAGCAGCAGCAGCACGCCTCGACCACGGCCAGACAGTAGTTTTATACCACGTCGTCGTGGGCCCGGCGTTGCTGCGCGCCGCACGAAGTGAAGCACCAGGCGGGCCGCCCCGCCCCGCCACCATGTACAGTCGCTGGCTGGCCTGGCCTGCCTTGCTGGGTCCACGGAGAGGCGGGTTATTAGCTAGCCAGCGTGTCTTTCTCTGGTATGCACGCGCGAGTCGAGCGCGGCCACCGCATCACATTATCCACGGCGCGGGTGATTCGCAGGGACGGAAGGGGCTGGCTCGGTGGTTTGTGGTTGGCGGGCGAGCGTCGTATCGCGTTGGGAGGCCCTGCAGGAGTGCGTGCCTGATGGGTTGGTTGGTGAACTGTGTGGTTAGTTGGCGGGTGGTGGGCGGTGAGTGAGCCTGACAAGCCAACTATCATCTCATTAACTAAGGTGGTTAACTCCATACTCTGTAGTGTTGAGAGTGGCAGGTTAACAAGCCGGCAGCCAATTGACCAGGCAGAGCAGGCAATCACACCCGCCGCCACCCAGCCCTCTCCTACAGATACTCTCCTACTGCCACGGCCGGCGATCCGCCCGCCAAAGTGAAGCAACGCCGGGCTGGAGCGTTGGGTGCGCATGCATGCCCGCCGCCAGAGCGAGGCCCTGGCTACGTGGAGCCCGTCAGCAGCCCGTCGCCGGCGGTGGCAAGACAAGCCCATCCATCATACATACATAGCATACGGTCTACTGGTGTACGTACGGACAGGCTCGGCTCGGCTCGGGCGGTGTCACCGGCCCACGCGCGCCCTGGCACGAGCGCGGCGGCCTCGGAGCAGGCGGACAAAGAAGAAAAGAAAGAAAGAAAGAAAGAAAGAAAGAAAAAGCCACACTGAGAATACGCGCATATACAGAGCTCATGATCCAGGCACATACATATATGTACTCTCGGCGTAGAAATACACACAAAAAACGGGGTCCCTCCGCTGATATGCGAGCGATATCCAAAGAGACAAATAACAACAAGAACATACACTACTAGAAACACAGGACTGGGTTCCGGGGTTCTATTGGTCAGCCGCGGCAGGGCGACGGCGGGGGTCGGAGAGATCTCAGGTGCTCGATGTTGCGATCGTGAGCCCGGGGATCTGACGCTCTCCGAGTTCGGTCGCGCTTGGCCCGGCTGGCGCCCCATCGTCTCCATCTTCTCCAGCCCGCACAAGATCCAGATGTAAAAAGATCCGGGTTGCTCGGTCGGGGAAGCATGGCGGGGAGGTATGGCGTGGGTGGCGGGGGACCTGCTGTGCTGGCTCGTAAGTAGAGTAAGAAAGAATAATGGAAAAAAAAAAAAAATAAATAAAAAGGCCGATTTCAACTTTTGGAATGAAGTTTTTTTTTGAATGGGTTGAAAATTCCCGGCCTACACAATGCCCCAGGCGTCCTCGGCGGCGTGGCAGAACTTGCTGCAGGCGACGCTGGCGCTCAGGCTGAAGTTGCTGATGCTGATGGTGTCGTCCTTGAAGGCGTCGGCGAAGTCGTCGCGGCCCTTGGCCATGGCGCCGACGAAGACGCAGATGCTCTCGGCGGGGCCGAGGGTGCGGATGTAGTCGTTGACGCGCACGACGGGGGCGTCGAAGCTGAGGGTGACCTTGCGGCAGTTGGGCGGCAGGTGGTCGGTGATGGGGTTCTTGATGACACGCAGCAGCTTCTCCTGCGAGTTGGTGGAGCGGATGGCGAGCCGGTGCAGCAGCTGCACCATCAGGCCGGCGAAGCGCTTGAAGGTGCGCGGGATGCGCACGGTCGGGCTGACCTCGATGAGCACGCCCTTGGCCGTGTGGATGTAGATCTGCAGCTTGCCGGCCTTGTTGATGGGCGAGTCGAGCAGCGTGAGCAGGCACTGGCGAGCGAGTTAGGAGGAGTATGGGAGGATGGAAGGATGGGAGGAAGAGGATCGGGGGCGGCCACCTGGTGGGTGATGTCGGGGCGGGCCTCGCTGATGTCGCGGCCCATCTTGCGCATGACGCCGATGTGCTCATCGCTGTTGAGCAGCGAGTACTTGTCGTCGCGCGCGGGCTTGCCGGGGGCGGCACTGCTGGCGGACGCCGAGCTGGCGGCGCGGTAGGTCTCGAGGCTGGCGTTGGAGAGCACGACGACGAGGCGCTTGGAGTGCTTGTCGTGGGCGGCGAGCGGGACGTGCTGCTCGGCGACGAGTTGCGGCAGCTCGGGTGGCGGGCAGGACTGCGTGCCTGAGCGGAGGGCCATTAGAGAAGCAGTGTAGGGAGTGGGAGTGGGTGGTGGAGGTGTGTGAAGGTGTGTGAAGGTGTGGAAGTGGGAGTGGGAGTGGGAGTGGGAAGTGTCAAGAGAGAGAGAGAGAGAGAGAGATATGCAGAAAGCCAGATTGCAAACGCGACGGGCGGAGCGGAGCGCGGAGAGAGCAAGGCGAGACGACTTACGGGGTCGCTTGCGCTTTTCGGCGGACATGCTGGGAGGGAGGAGGAGAGAGGGAGAGTATGAGGAGAGAGAACGCGAGAGAGTGTGTGAGACAGAGAGAGAGGGAGAGAGATATAACTAGAGATAAGTAGAGAGCGAGTGAGTGTGCGCCGGGGAAAAAAGTCGAAACAGGCAGAGAGACCAGCTAGTTGGTTAACCAGCTAACCAGCTAACTAACTAACTAACTAACTCTCAGCCGGTTAGCCTCCGGCCGCGAACCAGCAAACTAATAACAATAATAATACTGCTCAACGGCTCCCTCGCTGCCCACCGACGGCTTGCTGGCCTGCCGTCTGCTCAACTCTCTCTCTCCCTCTCTCTCTCTCCCTCTCTCTCTCTGCGCGTCTGCCTGGCTGCAGCCCAGCCCAGCGCTGACCGACCGGCTTGGCCCGACACGCCAACCGCGCCGGCTTCACATGACCTCTCGCTCGCTCACACAACACCCATCACACTCTCCTGCTGGCATTGCACACCAGCTCTCTCTCTCTCTCTATCTCTCTCAATATATATCTCTCTCTGCCAATCGATACCCGTCTACCCTCTACTCTCCAGACGCTCCCCTCGCCGCCGCCATGGTCAGCGTGCGGGACATGCCCTACACCGTCACCAACTCCTTCAAGCGGTACCCTCTCTCTGCATCCTCTCCATCCCATAAATATACTCCCGCTGACATTTCTGACTCCAGTGGCCTCATGATGCGTACCTACGCCGCCCGTCCCGCTCGTCCTGACCCAGATGCCCGCCCCGTCGCGAAGAAACGACGCGTCGACCACCACCACCACCACCTCCCATCCGACCCCCTCCGCCCATCCAGCGACTGCGAGAACAACCTGCAGACCGCCATCCGCCAGTGCTCGGCCGCCGTGCTCTCCAGCCCCTCGCAGCGGCCCTCGCGCGCCCCGTCGGACGAGCCCCTTGATGACCACGATGACCCTGATGATGATGATGACCCCGACCACGCCCCGTCCACGCCGCCGTCCTCACCGCCGCCACCATCCACCACCACAACTACCACCACCACCCTACAACTGACCCCTCCACCAGCCGCTGCCGCCGCCCGCAAGCCTACCTTCGCGTTCCTCAAGCGCAAGCGCGCGCTGCTGCCGGCCCAGGACTTCCAACCGCCCGTGCTGCGACAGATGCAGCTCGACCTAGGCGGCGACGTGCGGCGTACGTGCGGCGGCTGCGGCATGGAATACGTGCCAACGCACGCGGACGACGCGGCGCTGCACCGACGCTTCCACGACCGCCACACGGCCGGTATCGACCTGGGCAAGGCGTTTGTGCGCGCCAACGCGTCGCGCTGGGTGTACGAGGCCGCGCGCGTCGACGACGGCTACGTCGTCATCGTCGACCGCAAGAGCTCGCCCGCTGCCCGCCGCCAGGCCCGCCGCGTGCTCGACGTCGTCAACCGCGAGCTGGCCGCCCCCGACCTCGACGACGCCCGCCTCTGGGGCCAGGCCGAGACCCCCAAGCCCTTCCGCAAAAACGGCTCCCGGGAGGACGTCGACCGCTTCCGCGTCTTCCTGCACATGAAGGACAGCCGCTGCGTCGGCCTGTGTCTGGCCGAGCGCATCTGGGAGGCCTATCCGGTCAACAAACCCACATCTTCTTCTTCGTCTATCACCCTGGGCCCCGACCCGCACCCGGCCATCGTCGGCATCTCGCGCGTGTGGACGTCGGCCGCGTCGCGCCGCAAGGGCATCGCCCTGGACCTGCTCGACTGCGTCGTCGGCAGCTACTTCTACGGGCTCGACATCCCCAAAGCCCAGGTGGCCTTTAGCCAGCCCACCGAGAGCGGCTGCCGCCTGATGGCCGCCTTCTTCGGCCCCGACGAGCCGTGGCATGTCTACAAGGAGTGCGTCGAGACGAAGACCGAGAGGGAGCATTAAAAAAAAAATTATTTATTCGAAATTGGTAAAACGAACGAGTTGTTTTGAAACGAGTTGTTTCTTAGTTTACAGTCTGGCGGGGGACGTGGGACACGGCAAATTGCGTCAACATCAAACCAAACACCCGTCCTCCGTCGCGAGAATGGATTGTGGGAATTTGCGGATTTATGTACAGGCGTTTTTCTGGGCCGGGACCGAGTTGCTGAGTGGATTTTTGTCTTTATATCTTATTCCAAGCTGTTTTATCTAGTTGAGTTAGTTTACATAGTTACACAGGTAGTGAGAAGTGACGTCGAGGGCTGGGCTGGGCGCCCGACCTCGCTGCCTGTCTGTCTGTCTCTGTCTCTTCCCAAATTGCATGCATCCTAGACGCCCGCCGACTTTCTCTCCTTGTCCTCTCTGCCCGTCAAGTCAGCCAGTTAGTTAGCCCTGAGACGCCGCCGCCGGGATCCCCGGTCCCTGCATGCAGCCTGCGCCAGGCGCCCGCCCCATCACCAACCTAACCAGCGCCTGCATAACTGCCGCATACTTACACCTCACACCCACTCTCTCTCTCTCTCTCTCTTCTCTCCCTCCCCACCTGCTCATGTCCACGGCAATCCGCGTCGCCTGCAATGTCGGCGTCCAATCCGTTCCGCCGTAAACCCGTGCCCGCCGCCGCTGCCGCCCTCGACTCCGTCGTGGGTGAGCGAGAAGCTGCCCCTACTACACCAGACCCAGCACCAGCACCGCCTCTTGAGAACAGTACGTGAATATCCCCTTCCATCACCCTAATACAAAGCCATTGACCAGACGCGTTTCTCCGCCAGCCCTCCCCCCACGCACCAAGTCCGTCCGCATCGCCTCCCCACCCGTCCGCGCCGTGATCTCGCCCGTCGAGCCACTCTCTCCGCTGGCCACGAGCCCGCCCGGCACCAGTCATGGTCGCAGTCGCCATGCTGGCTCCCCGCCGCCGCCGCAGGTAATCCCACGGGACGTGGAGTCTAGCAGTGAGAGCGAGGATGACGAGAGGCCCGACGGTCTGGATCCGTTTGAGAATCCAAAGGCGAGAAGTGATAATGACGATGATGATGTCCAGACGGGACGGAAACGCGCTACGATGGATGTCGATGCCTTTAAGAGGCTGCTGCTGACGGGCGATGCGAACGTGCAGTCGGCGGCGTTGACGGAGACGAATGTGAGCCTGATCGAACAGCAGCAACAGTTACCACTGAGGAGCGCTTCGAGATCGAGTCAGGACCGCGACGCCGCCAGTCCCCGGCTGGAGCGGAAGAAGCCTCCCGTGCCCAAGACCAGACACGGCAAGCTGCTGCAGCACGCCGTCGACGAGGACGTTGTCTCTGCTCGCGACCAGCAGTCCCGCGCACCACCACGCGCCGTCTTGTCGAAAAAAAGCCCGCCGCCCCCGCTCACCTTCTCGCCCTCACCCTATCCCCCGGCCGGAGCAGCCGCCCGCGTCGTCTCCGACCCGCCGCCATCCACCTCCAGCCCCGGCAGCAGCTCGCGGTCCTCATCGCGCGACGGCCGCCGGCCCAGCCTCTCCGACCCGTTTCCGCCATTCCGCTCCGCCTCGCAGAGAATCCCGCCCGCCGCCCCGCCCACCCGCCGACACAGCCAGCTCCGCCACGCCCACGCCCACGCCCACGCTGCTGCCGGCTCGTCCCCGCCCATCGCGCGCTCCAGCTCCGCCCGCCTCCCTGCATCATCCACAAGCTCATCCGCCTCCGCCATGCCACGCACCCCACCCCCGCCACCACCACCACCCACGCGCCGACGAGACCACGAGTCTCCACCGTCCTCGTCACACTCGTCCCCATCCACGACCCCCGAAGAAGCAGCTGAACCAGACGCAGACAACCAGTCCACGACGCCGCCCCCCCTGGCCCGCTCGCAATCCGGCTCCGTACGCTCGGTGAACCGGCTCGCGCGCGCACCGCGCCCGCCGCCGCCGCGCCGGAGTGCGAATTCGCAGGTCGCTGCGGCGGATGACTCGCGGTCGCTGCGGCATGTGTCGGGTGATGGGGATGCGGAGGACGACGGTGGTGGGGTGGGCTCGCCGCCGCGGCCGCCGTCCAAGGCGGAGAATATCCTGGCGGATTTGTCGCGGCTGCAGAGGGAGCTGGATGAGTTCCGGGGTAGGTATGAGAAGCCGTCGTCGTCGACGTCGTCGGCGGCGGGCTAGGGATAATGTTGGTGGTGTCGGCGTATTTATTTATCCATGTTATATTCGTCTGTCTTGTTTTTACGTTTTTTATGCTGCTATGAGTGGATGGGTGATGATGGTGGGCCAAAAGAATGAATAATAATGTATGCGGCGCTGGGCTGGTTATTTGATATTTCTCTTATTTGCCGCTTCGATATGTAATATACCCACATGTCTGGTAGTTATCAATACTCAACTTGATAAACATAGTTGATATCTGATTCGCTGAGCGGGTGGTAACTAGCTAGCTAAAATTTGATAAAAAGGGTGCCTATATAGGAAAGAAAAGAAACAAGAAGAGCTTCAGCTAAACAAAAGAAAAAATCCCACATGGCCTGTTTTTTTGAATAGCTCGTACGGAGTACTCCGTACAAAGGTAGCTGATACAAGCAGCCATATCCATCCCATAACCCCCGAACTACTAACGATTCCAGCTCGATCGACAACTGGTTAGCAGAAAATCACTTCAACGAAAAGATACGAAAAGAAGAAAACAATAAATCTGGACATAAGATTGAAGAACGTTTGCTCAGAAAAGAAAAGAAAAGGTAAGTCAAGAAGAGCTGCGGAAAAAGCGTCGGCATAAATCCACTCGAGCGCGCTTAGCGGGAGACAGGCCGCGGCGACCGCACCGTAGTATCCACCACGTTCTCATCAAACGTCACGCCGTCCACCATGCGCACATCGTCAAACGCCTCGCCCTGCTGCGGGTGCGTCGCAGCCGCAGCGGCCACGGCCGCCGCACGCGACGCCGCGGCGGCAGCAGCACTCGTGCTCCCGACGCCGGACGACTGGCGACTCAGGAAGGCGACGCGCGCGGCGGACGACACGGGCCCGCTGGTGGTGCTGTTGGCGCCCTCGCCGAAGCCGACCAGGCTGGCGTTCTCGTCGCTGAAGCCGCCCAGGCTGGACACGCCGTCGTCGTCGTTCAGCCGGTCGTGGTCGAAGATGTCGCTGCCGCTCCAGGCCGTCGCGCGCCCGCCCACGCTGCTGCCCGTCGCGCTGGCGCTGCCGACCGTGCTGCGCTCCTTGAACTGTAGGTGCGCTGGCAGCGACTGCTGCTGGTGCTGCTGCTGGGTGTGCGACGGGTCGAAGTAGCCCGGTGATGCGCCGCTGGGGAGCTGCAGGTCGTCGTCGCAGGACGGGTTGGGGTGGTTGTGGTGACCAGTGCTGCTGGTGATGGTGGAGGGGCGGGAGGCGGTGACGCGCTCGAAGCCTGCGAGCCGGGAGATGCGGTCTGCGCGTTCGGCTGCGAGTGTGTCGGTCGAGGTGTCGGAGGCGTCGGACGGGCGCCGGCGGAGTCGGTGGCTGTGCGGGCGGAGCTTGCCCTGGTGGCCGTCGTTGATGGCCGTCGTGGAGAGCGCGGAGAGAGAGGTGGTGCCTGAGTTGGGAGTGCTTCTGGTGAAGCGGTCAGTGGATGAGGGTTGGATAGATGATGAGGATGATGGGGGGGTGGGTGAGTGCTTACGGGCCCATGTCAGACGGCGTGGGTGGTTCTGAGGGCGGGGGAGGGAGGTTGATCAGGGTGGGCTGCGACATGGTGATGGGCGGTGCGTGGTGGAGGTTGGAGAATCGGTGAAGAGGTGTTTGATGAAGAGCTGGCGATCCAGGGGCGGTGCCGTCAATTAGTACTTGCTGTCGGGGACCAAAGAGTCGCGGAAAAGGGTGTATCCGGTGCCAGTAGAAGGGTTGGGCTTTGGTAACTCGAAATTCCGGTTGGGAATGCAATCGACGGGCGTTTTTTGGGTTATGTGCGACCTGCTTTGAACACTGATCTTCGGTGAGGCCACAAAGTTCTGCGACAAGGCGGGAAAAGGATGCAAGTCTGGGGGTGAGTTGGGGGATCAGACAAGAGGGCGGGGTAGGACGGGGTGGCGTTCAACGAGAAAAAACAACAGCAGCGCGTTCAGCACCACACACACCACAGAATGACACGCCCGCGCTGACAGAAGCAATGCAGGGCCAGCAGACGCGATGCCGTTTTGTCGCCGGCGCTCTCGCTCGCTGCGGCTCTAAGGGCGCTGAGGCGCGAGAGGACGTCGCTTAGGTCAGCATTCGCTGACGTCATCTACGCGCGATGCCGGAAGCGGCCGCGCCAAGACCAGGCACAGCGTGCTGCAGCCTGACGAACCGGGCAGGAGCGGCGGGAGCGTGCTTTTGCCGTTTCCGGCCGGCAACATGGTCTCAAGCCGGTTTACGCCTGTACGGGCCACGCACAGGCCGTACAGGCCGTGGACGGGCTCTTCGCGTGTCGTGTACGGCGCTGCATGGCTGGCCGCTACCCCCCGCCCCAGCCACACGCTGCAGCCACTCAGCCCTACGGCCTAGCGGTGATCGGTGCTGACATAAGCAGCCGCTGTCCACAGAAAATCTCTCGCTTTCGCTTCTTCCGGGCCTTCTGACGCGCATCCTTCAAGCTCCCGCTCCCCTCGCACCGCCCGCTCGCCCTCTCCCGCTTCGTGTTCTGCCAATCTCTGGGACTCGACCCTGCTCTCCTGCTCCGTTTGTTGCTCGGCCCGCTTGTTTTTTTCTCTCTGTCGCTTGGCATTGACTTGTCCAGCGCAACCGAGAAAAAAAAACAACAATCAAATCCCGGACAATTCAACGCAACAGCTCGCGAAATCCACGAACCCTTCAGTGTCTCTCGCCTTTTTGCTGCGCGCACTGTTGGCCTTTCGACTGTCTATTTTTTTTCGCCTACGGACCCTGTGGTGCTGCGGCCATTGCGCTCTCAGTCGCCACCGGCACGTTCATCGTCTCAAGAGCCTCTCAAGAACTTCGAGTTTCCCGTGGGAAGAGGGTAGTTCAGCCGGCGACCCTGTACTTTGATACGATACCGCACCCCCGTGTGCCTGTTGGAATTTTCTGTGGCTTTGAGTAGCCATGGCAGCCCCAACTCAGCTCGCGTGTATGGGACCCCCCTAACTGGGCATTTCCTTTGTACCGGGTGATACTGAGACTTAGATAGATCGAACCTCAAAGGACGTGGGAATTTTGGATGCCTCTCCTGTCTATGAACCACTAGCCGGTTTCACCAGGTGTGCTACAAATTCAATGCCGGCCGCGCGTAGACCATAAAAAACTAACAAGCTCTTCCAGGCCAGAAGGAAACCTGCGCTGCTGCGCCTACTCGCCGTGCGGCAGGTACTTTGCATGGGCTGCGCCCGACGGGTATGAAACGCCTGTATATTCCCTAGCTTTTGACGCCGGCGGCTAAGACTTGTCTCGCAGAGTTTCGATCATCGACCCATCCGTTGGTTACACAGTCGCCACTCTCCCTGCAGAGAACGTCTACGAGCTCGGGTTCTCGCCCCTGGGCACCTATGCAATCACGTGGCAGCGCCCATCCAAAGACGAAAACGGCGATGCAGTGAGAAACTTGAAAGTCTGGGCGGTCGTGGCGGAGAGCTCGCCCGACGAAGGTGCTGCTTCGCGTGTACCCATTGGGAGCTTTGTGCAGAAGTCGCAAACCGGCTGGAACTTGCAGTATACTGCCGACGAAAAATACTGTGCTCGCGTGGTCACGAATGAGGTCCAGTTTTATCAGAGTGCGAACCTGAGAACGGTATGGAATAAACTACACGCCGAAGGTGTCGTTGATTTTGCTGTCTCGCCGGGACAAAATCATGCTGTGGCGGTCTTTATTCCAGAACGCAAGGTTGGTGCCTCATGTTTTCTACCATAGTGCTTTATCGTACTCACTTTCCATGTTTATAGGGCCAACCCGCCGCTGTGAAGGCGTTTAATATCCCACAATTTACTCTGCCGATCTCGCAAAAGACTTTCTTCAAAGGCGACAAAGTCCAGATGAAATGGAACAAGTCCGGGACAACCGTGATCGTTTTGGCTCAAACGGAAGTCGACAAAACCGGGAAGAGTTATTATGGAGAAACCACATTGTATGTGCTCGGCACGGATGGGTTTGACTCAAGAATCGATCTTGGTACGTTTATCTCACTGCCACAGCTATTGGTGTGATGCTTACTTTTGCAATGTAGACAAAGAGGGCCCGATTCATGATGTTACCTGGTCTCCGAACTCCAAAGAATTCGGCGTCGTCTACGGTTACATGCCAGCAAAGACCACTATCTTCAATTCAAGAGCAGTTGCAACACATTCCTTTGCCCTCGCGCCACGAAACACTATTGTCTTTTCTCCTTTTGGACGATTTGTCATTGTGGCCGGTTTTGGTAATCTTGCCGGCCAGATGGACATCTATGATTTGGAAAAGAACTATGCGAAAGTCGCCACAATCGAAGCATCCAACGCCAGTGTTTGCGAATGGAGTCCCGATGGGAAGTACATTTTGACGGCGACCACCAGCCCTCGGCTTCGCGTTGACAACGGCGTTCGCATCTGGCATGTTGGCGGCGCGTTGATGTATAACGAGGACATGAACGAGCTCTACGACGTCTGCTGGCGGCCACAGTCCACCACCAGCCACCCGCAAGAAAACCCTCTCCACCCGATGCCGAATCCCCATCCGTCTGCGCTGGCCTACTTGGCCAAGACAAAGACGCCCTCGAAGCCAGTGGGCGCCTATCGGCCGCCCGGGGCTCGCGGCCAGAGCACTCCGATGTCATTCCGCCGAGAAGACGAAGGCGGCGCTGCTTTCGTTCGAGACGATCGCCCCAACACGTTCGGGCCCAGCGCGAATGCGTTTGGCAAGCCAAGGCGCCGTGTGGTTCCTGGGGCGGAGCCCATCGACGAATTCCTCCCTCCTGGAGCCGCTCCAGGCGGAGGCGTGGCGCTGCCGCCGGGTGCGCAGGCGGACGACAAGCTGTCCAAGTCCGCCGCGCGAAACAAGAAAAAGCGCGAGGCGAAGAAGGCCAAGGAGTCGCTCGACAACAAAACGCAGCCGAACCTCGCGGTCGAGGGCGAGCAGCCCGGCCCAGCTGCCAGCCAAGCCGGCGGCCGGCGCGACCATTCTCGCAGCCGATCCCGCGGCCACAACTCGCAGCAGTCCTTGGACCCGAACGCGCTTGGCCGGCCGTACCGCGATCGCAGCCGCAGCGGCCACCGGCATCAGAACAGCGATGTGTTCAAGGGCAACGGGACGCCCCGGCCGGCGCACTCCAGAGGCCCCCCAGCACAGGCGAACCATCGACCGGCAGCGAACGGCACGCCCGGCCCTCTCCCGGACGTGACGGTGACGTCTCCCGCGGCGGCGGCCGGGAATCCGTCCACGCCGCAGGAGAAGAAGATCCGTGGCCTGCTGAAGAAGATGCGGGCCATCGACGAGCTCAAGATGCGCTTGGCGGGCGGCGAGAAGCTGGAGGAGACGCAGATGAAGAAGATCCAGACGGAGGAGTCGGTGCGCAGGGAGCTGGAGGGTCTTGGATGGAGCGGGTAGGACGGCGGTTTTGGCATTGGACGTAGAGACTTAGATTGGCCAGCTCGTAATGCAAGTGTTGGCGCTCGCTTGTTGGTGAAGCCAGAGTAGACTACGCAGTAATTGGATCAGAGAAACAAGCCAGCCGTGATGCGATCCGGCCCGTCGACATCCGGCACGACAGGCAGTGTGTATGAGTTGCCTGCTGGTGGCTCTGTGACGGCTCATCCAACCCCTGGCGGTCGCGCAACCCCAGCCGCCGCAACCTCGCATCTGCAACGCCAGCTGCATCAGAAGCGAGCCAGCACCGGCGGCAAAAACGAAGGGAAAAAGAAAAAGAGCGGGATTGCCCGGATACCAAGGACGTGGCTGGGCAGGCTGCGGATAAGAGAACAGCAGCCAGGCTGAATGCGAAGCGATATGAGAGGCTACAAGAATACAGCGCGCCGGCTCGCTCGCAGTCGATCACCCAAGCGCCCTCTTCCTCCAGCCAGCGCTTCTGCCAAAGGCCTCTAGACTCCCTCTGGCCCACGGCTAACCTGCTGTCAGTCGCAGAGCTAGCTACATAGTTTGTCGCCTCTCGCTTCTGGCTGGCGCGCGCTGAGACACCCCCTGTCCCAGATCTGAACCACCATCCGGCCGTGCTTCGGCCTCGCTGCCGACGAAAAGACCCTTCGCTTGCTCTGCGCTGCGCTGCACTGCTCTCTCTTTTTTTTCCTTTTGACCAGTGTTCTTCCCTCTCACGGCTGGTCTCTTCCGTTTCCCTGGTCTGCTTGCCCTTTAAGCGTGGTCTTGTTTCTGTTCAACGGGGTTGAACTCTCGGGCGCGCCCGTATATTATATCCTCTACGGAGCGGGAGCTCGACTCTCGCCACGCTTAACTCGCTGCCAGAGACATCGTACCTCTAATTAATTCTCGATACTATACCCGACCCTTGTGTCTCTCTTGCTCTGTGGTTGCGCTGGCGTGTCCCAAAGGGCGACAGCTGGACATGCGTGATACCCAAAACTGATATTTTTTCCCTACATACAAACCAATTCTCTCTTCTGCATATCCCGTTTCTTTTGATCCTCTCCCTCCCGTCTACTTTATCACTGTTTGTGTTACCCTGTCGCTCCCGTCGCAATGAATGGGAAAGGCGGTTACACGGAAACATATGTCCAAGGCCCCGAACGGGCAAGATGGCCGCCGCTCACGAGAATGCTGATGTCGGGCGAGATGAGCGGCGAGCCCCCGAGGAACCTGACCATGAAAGAGAAATTTGATCGATGGTGCGTCGTCTTTGTTTGCATTGTCCGGCCCGTTATGCAAGATGGGCCACCTGCAGCGTCCATGCTAACATCAACTCTCACGCAGGATGGTAAATGAGGGCTGGCGGAGATTGTAAGTTTGCGTCTTGTGAGGCTTGATATCGGTTGCTTACGGGTGATGATAGCACTGTCTTGGTCTTTGCTCTGGCACATTTGATGATCTTTGCTTTTGGCCTGCTGCACTATGGCCTCAAGGTAACGAGTGCTGCCTCTTATTCGTTGTTAAATTGCTGACACAAATCATCTAGGACAATCTTACGGGATCAAGAGCTACTTTCGGTGCTACGTTTGCAATTGCGCGATCGGCCGCCCTTGTTCTTCACTTTGATGTTGCCTTGATCTTATTTCGTACGTGCTCTGAACCCCTACCATTGAAGGACATTTACTCATGATATCAGCTGTTTGCCGCACCCTCATTTCTTTACTGAGGCAGACCCCTATTAACGGCATCATCCAATTCGGTATGGTCTCTAATATTCCGCCATGATCACACTTATAACTTTTACTGACTGCTGATAGATAAAAATATCACCTTCCATAAATGTGAGTTCATCTGAGCCATGAACTATGGCCCAGACTAATGCGTCAACAGTGGTGGCTTGGTCGATTGTCACGTTCTCGTGGATCCATACAATCGCTCACTGGGTTAACTATGGCCAGCTCGCCGTAAAACAAGGCTTGGGAGTCCAAGGCTTTCTCCTTGCCAATGTTGTTACAGGACCTGGCTGGACCGGGTACATAATGTTATTTGCGCTGATGGCAATGGTTTTTACATCACTCGAAAAACGTCGTCGATCAAATTTCGAGAGATTTTGGTATACGCATCATCTCTTTGTCGTTTTCTTTGTCTTCTGGGCATTTCACGGCGCCTTCTGCATGATCAAGCCTGATTTCCCTCCCTTTTGCGCTGGTACTGGTGTATTTTGGATGTATTGGATATATGGAGCCGTCATCTATCTGGCAGAGAGAGTGCTGCGTGAGGTTCGGGGACGCCATAAGACTTACATCACAAAGGTTGTCCAGCATCCGAGCAATGTTGTTGAAATTCAAATGAAAAAGGAGAAAACGAAAACGCGAGCAGGCCAGGTAACGCCCCTCTCTTGCAATACTAATGACTATATATCCTTACTGATATGCCTCGCAGTACATTTTCCTATGCTGCCCCACGATATCAGTTTGGCAGTATCACCCATTTACGCTTACGAGTGCCCCCGAAGAAGATTATATTTCCGTACACATTCGATGCGTCGGGGATTTCACCAAGGCCCTTGCAAAAACACTAGGATGTACCTTCGACGAAGGCAGAGGAGGCAAAGGAGGCGGTGGTGGTAAGGGCAAGACAAACGTTGTCGGCGTGAACAGCCAAACCTCTCCAGACGACGTGGATCCCAGCATCCGCCGGGTTCTTCCCAGAGTTTACATTGACGGCCCATTTGGCAGTGCATCAGAGGACGTCTTCAAGTACGAGGTTGCCCTGCTTGTTGGAGCGGGTATCGGCGTGACCCCTTTTGCATCCATCCTGAAGAGTATCTGGTATCGGATGAATTTCCCGCAGACCAAGACGCGCTTGCGCAAAGTCTATTTCTTCTGGGTGTGTCGAGACTTTGGCTCCTTCGAGTGGTTCCAGTCCCTGCTTCTTGCGATTGAGGCCCAGGACAAGGCCAATCACATTGAAATCCACACTGTGAGTTTTTATGTCCTGTCTATTTTTTCTTTTTTTACATCATTTTAACTAACGACTTCGATCTGTAGTATCTAACGGCCAAGATCCGTCCTGACGACGCCACGAATATCATGATCAACGACGCCAACGCTGAACAAGACACCATCACCGGCCTGCGTGCCCCGACGAACTTCGGCCGTCCAAACTGGGATATGGTCTTTAGGTCGATTCGAAAACTCCATGCTCCCGCAGAGGCGGGTGTGTTCTTCTGCGGGCCAAAGCCCCTGGGCAGCGTGTTGCATGTAAAATGCAACATGTACTCCGAGCCCGGGTTTAATTTTGTCTGGGGCAAAGAGAACTTTTAAACAAAAACGCACAGGGCTTTTAATGCCTCTTTCCTTTATTCTTCGATATTTTGCGATGTATATATATACGTGGTCTTCGAATCTAGCTTCAATTGACCTTCGCTACAGGAACTGCGAGGTTTGGGGGTTTTCTTTTTTGTATTTAATTTTATGACCTCGATATATACTCAAAATTCGATTGTGTTGCCAGGCGCAGCAATATCACGCCCGCTACATCTTTTACAGCTGCACTGAAATTGAATGGACCTATACACGGAACAGTTCGTTCCACCCCTTAAGTAAGATAGAAAGAGTGACTTCCAATAGTTATTGTGGCAGCAAAAGTTCGCCTGAATTACCCCTCAAGTGGAAAATGGTATTTACCAGGAGATTTAGCTTCGCAGTCCAAATTTAACCACCTTGTATCTGTCAGGCTTCCGCTATGGTTTAGGACGAATAATTCTCAGGTAGGGAATTTGGAATGATAGCCTAGCATATTACCAATGACAGCATATAAAGAAAGCACAAAACAACTCTTCGGGGAAATTTGAGTTTCAGTTATTTAAGATGTTGATATATGTACAGTACGAAGGAGGGAATGAGAAATATCATTTACTCCATCATAATCAGAGTCAGGCTGGCTGGGACGCGATGCCTGCGAAGAAATTTCAAAATCTTCAGAGAGATAACTCTCCGATCGGTGAACCGGCACTGATGATAACGAATCCCCTCCACTCCAGACAGACCCCGCTCACATAATTCTAGATAAATTATATCACAAATAACGGTTTTCAGGTTCATTCCGGTTCCGGCACCTGCCGACGCGTTGATGTCGGGAAAAAGCACGGTTAGTTTGGTCTTCCATGCACAGCGGGTAGCACAGCTCGCCGGCGAGCAGATCACTGTCGGGCCCGATGAATGCAAAGATGGCGCCTTCGCGGTCGAACGACGCGCGAAGGAAGACGGCCTTGGTGGCGTAGTAGGCGCAGGCGGGGCGCGAGCGCAGCGAGTACTCGTGCTCCTGCGTCAGCCCAAAGCCCAGGACCGTGACGTACTCGGCAAAGTGCATGAAGCTACTCTGCGCGTCGGCTGCGTAATGCGGGCGCGTCTCTGTCTCCTTGATCATGCCGATCTGGAGGAACGGCTTAGATGTGGAGTACCAGCCCATGGCGACATTGTGGGCGGCCAGGCTGTCGCGATAGAACGCATTCGCGAGCGCGGTCAGCGGGTCCCGGTCTGCACCCAGGTCTCCACGGAAAATGACCGACACGTCGCGCTCGGTCGCAAAGGCCTCGCGGGTTCGCGAAGAAACAGGATTCCTGAGCCCACTCGTTGGTCAGGATCCAGTTATTTGCTTCCCATGCCGAGGGGAAGCTGATTAGACACTGGAGCGCGTGGGCGATCGACGAGCCAGTGAAGTGATAGCTGAGGGCTCTGATGGTCCTCCTCCCATGAAATCTCCAGAGCCTGCTTGACAGCCTGCTTGTGCCGTGTCTCCAGCTCCTGAAACTGTGTTCCCGCCGGCGCACCGTGACATCCATATGCCAGTTGGGCGGGATATAGACAATGGCCATGCCGTTGATACGGCTCTCCCGGTTCCGGCGTATGAACAGCTGCTGCAGGATGAACCGGAATCGGTTGCATACCGTCTGGTATATTTCCGGTTCGATCCGCGGCCCATTCAGCCGGAACCGGGCGGCGATCTGGGAGAGGATGCCTGGCCACATTCCGAACTTCGCATGCGCAATGCAAAGCGGAATGTGATACTCGGTTTGGCGTGTAAACCGAGCGATGCAAGGCCGAAGCGCGCGAACCGGCCGTGCGTGACGGCCGCGCACTCCAAAAAAATAACATAATGCAAGCCACCCGCGCACACGCACGCGGGCGTACTTCATGTCACTTCCGACTCTCTGCTCTCTCCCAAGCAGATACGAAAGTGAACAGTCCGTGGTGTTCCGCCGGTATAGTATTGGCCTGCCAGAGGCCGAAAGGTCGAACCGAAAAAAATTGTTGAAATGGCAGCATTGCTGGAGGTTCGTGCGTAGCGGTACGCAAAAAGGGCGGACGGACTGTTTAGCAGTGGGTGGGTGCCCTTGGTGCCTGGCAATCAAGACACCAATGACGCGACGGCGCGGATGCAGTGCGGATAATGGCGCCCCTGGCCATATATCCGGTACCGGTTCGTCATCGTGGGAGGATCAAAGGAAAGGCAGCCTGTTCAAGCAGGCTGCCTGAAGAGCTGGAGCCAGCTGCCAGAGCTGGTTGAGGAATGAGAAAGAGAAAGAGCACGAACAAGCCGGGAGAAGACAGGCTTTATATATGCTGAGAGGGAGACGCTAGCGGCTCTAGCGTAACTAGCGAGCCGATCGTATAGCGGTGAATGGTGGAATTGCAGAAGGCCTGGCTTGCGAGAGTGAATATGCAAACAAGCGCGCGGGCAGCAAATGCAGGCATCTCGATAGTTTTCAAGACCTGGTGAAACATATGGTGGGTCCAACCTTCACTGGAATGACCGAGAGATAATTGGATGCTCAAAGAAACGTCCTTGTGCTGTGATGCCGATGCAGGATACTTTCCTGAGGCAGTGAAGAGAGCAAATAAAAACGGAGAATTTTTGAATTAGAGTTCAAGCAAAGAGCCTGTCTGCGGAGTATTCCATCTATTCAAACTGTTTGCTCCATCCTGGGTATAAAGAAACCGCACACCTGCATATAGTGAATCTCGGCCGACGCCGATCGGCGACGCCTGCGGCTAGAGACAAGCATTTCTTTGCACCAAAGGCTATGTATGTCACTCCCGCCTAAGCGTTGGGAGGCGAATCTGAGGCTTTCTTTGCGCTGCTTCCCCTTGTTTGCCGGCTCTCTCCTTCCAGCATATCACCTCGGCTTGAGGCGCTGCGGCTGGGAACATCTCTCACTTCATTCTCCTCATCTCCGGCTCCCTGTCTCTGCACACTTCTGCCTCTCAGACCTGCTGACCCCAGCGCCCATTCCTTCCCTTGCCTTCCTTGTTGGCTCAGCCATTGCCAGTCCTCCTCTTCCACTAGAACCCCACTATTCCCGTTGGCACTAGATTCTTTGCTGTGGCTGCGGAGCGATAGCCGATTAAATCGCCGGTACGCTTTGCTGTTGGTGTCCTCCGCAGCCGGCACGGCTACCTGCTTATTGCCTTCAAAGGCACTATCTGCGGCCGGAGCAGCAGGTAAAGTGGCTAATTCAGTGGCGTTTGCCAATCCACCAGCGGCAACGGGCATGGTATCACTCTCCGTATCATACAGGTGTGCGTCATCGCTTCCAAGCGCAAGCTCGGTCTTGTCGACTCCCTCATCACACGCGATTTGCGATGTCCAGCGCTGGATAAGACGTCTCTTGATCTTTGACACAACACCAAGGTCGTCTTGAGAAGCCGAAGCGCCCTCGGCTCTAATTGTCCTTTCAGGTGCGCTCCACTGTTTAATAAAATACCATTTTATTTTTGCCATTCGGCCCTTTGGTACAATGTAGTTTCGAGGACCATCTCGGGACCACAGGGCCGGGTTTTTATTTGCTAAGTCATTGAAAAAGTCTTCGTATATCCCACGGCGATAGAGAGTATTTTGCTTAGAGGTAAGCGCGTATTTCCAGAGATACCAAGTTACAAGGACTCCCAGCATAAACGGAACTGAGGCAATAAAATACCATTTGATACTGGGATCATCGCTGAAGGTGTCAACATTCATGCCTATTCAACATCGTTAGCCTCTGAATTTGGGCGAGGAAGGAAGCCATACCGAAAAATCCCGTAATAAATGTCAAAGGCAAGAATATAAAAGTAATCCAGCTCAAACGCCACACTAGTCTCTTGCGTTGGTATATAATTGACCACTCACTAGGACTAGAAACTTACTGCTGACACTAAGCCGAATATTCTGCCTACTGTCTCTAATGGAAACAGATCGGTAGACCAAAGATATCAAATTTTTAGTCGGCTTAACTAAATCCTCCGTAATGAGGTTCGCAATGCGGTCGAAATCTCCGCTCGTGCTGCCCAACCAAGGGTCATCCCTCTCCATATCATCTACGGATATTAGAGGAATGGCGCGTCATATTTACAGAAGGGCGAATGGTATATCTCACCAGTCAATTCGCGAAGTCGAATCTTCAACTCTTTTATGATATCAACTTGAAGAAACATCAGTTTCTCCATTTTCAACCATAATTTTGAGTTTGTCCACAATTCAGGGGCGCGTGTCTCATCCGCCGGCTGCTCATAAACTTTGTCTTCTAGTATACTGACATGATCGTAGGCGAGGTCAAGCAATATATCCCAGCCTCCTGCAAGCGCTTTGAAAAGGTCTTCCATGATGACTCGTGTACAGTGGAAAGCCAGTTCCTCATCGGTCGCAACCAAGTCCCGAGATTCAAAAGCGAGAAAGAAGGGCAGGCGTCGCCATCGAGCCTCCCAGCTGTCACGGGGTGGAATCAAGGTATCATCGAGGACTCCAGAGTGCGAGTCATCGAATATGAGAATAGCATTTCCATTATCAAGACTTCTAAGCCTGGGGATATACTCCTTTACGCCATCTCCATCGCAGTCAATCTGCGTATCCGGGAGATACGGGCTTGTGATATCTGGGTCAGTTGGCGGCGGCTCAACGATAACCTGTTTATGTTGTATATAACAGCTGATTCGCTGAAGAAAAACATCATAGCCATAAGCGGGATTGTCTATGTGGTGGCCCCGATTGCACTGCGTGCATATTGCACGTCGCAGCGATCACGGGCATTTTCTCAGTAAAATACCCCTTAAAATCAAGAATGGAGTAAGTGAACTGCTATTTTATGTATGTACATACCGTTTTCACCGAAGTTGTTCAACTCCATCATTTTATACCCATCATCTTCTCGAACGCTGGTCGGGTCCGGAACCTGATAGTCCTTAAGATAATCAAGCGAAAACGAAGTCTTACTAATTCCTCGCCATGGATCATATTGGACCTTCCACGTCTTGCCACTCAGGACTGGCTTCCCACGGCGCTGGTCTGGTCGTCGGCGTCTAACATATTGACCAAAGTCGGTGCCTACAAGGTCATCTCGGTTGTCGATATTGAACTTGCGCAGTAAATATCTGGCAGCCCAATCGGCATTTTGAACGTGAAAGACTCGAAGAACCGCTTCGCCGTTTCGCTCAGGGTTATTGTACAGTGTACGGAGGCCTTGGAGGTCGAATATCTCCTGCGCAGCAACTTTGCGGATGTTGCTTTTCGACGCATCTAATGTAACACTCAGCCGCCATACTCGATACATATCTTGAAACATGCCATTGTAGATTTGTACCTTGTTTCACAAAATCAATGACTAGAACTCGCCCGCCATGTTGGTCGATGTGCGAGTAGTTCTGGTGCCACCTTGGCCCAGACCTGCGATGCGGTGGATGTGCTGGAACCAAAGACCATTCTCGTTAGCAATTGCAGGATAGCGATATCCAAAAACTCGCCTACCGCTTCGTGCAGTCTGCGGAGCTGTCCGAAGTTCTTCCGCAAATCGCGGAGACGGGGCTGTCCCTGTGTTTGGTTCACCGTTAGTTAGGGTTGTTGTTTTTACTAAGCTGCCGCCACAGTTGACTAGTCAGTTAACTAGTTAGTTAACTAGTTAGTTACCTGGAATCCCGCGGCCCGTTGAACCACGATTGGGGCCTACGGTTTCGAATGCTTTGGGAAAGCTGCTCATGGTTTCGAATACGGATGATAGGACAAGTTGAAATACGGATCAAGTCCTGAGAAGCGGTTGCAGATTAATCAACAAGCTGAGCTGCACATGACCTGCCATTTGATAGGTAGTAGTTAGTACCCGTGACCTTGCGGAACCTGTGTGTAGGTTAACTAGACGGCTTGGCAATATCACGGGCAGTCAACATTGGAACTTATGACAGCTCGGAAAATCGGTTATGTGGGATTCTGCACTACTACCTATATATTTTGACTGCTTGTTGAATAGGAGTCAGGTGGCTTGTCAGGTGACCAGGTCCCCAAAGGAGGAGCCAGAGAACCGTAGGTTCGCCACCTCCTCTTCTCAACCATGGTACCATTTCATTATCTTTGACTATCAGACTGGTGGAGATTTTGCTAGAAGTTTTTCATATGTTCTTTCTGTAGTCTTGATTATAGCATGTTTATCTATAAGTACAGCTGTCTCATTCATTAGGAACAGGACCAGATGCAATATTATAGATCATCATGTGCTCCTGTTTAGTCTCATACTACTACACAGAATGAGTTTACTGTGTTGAATATACTATACTTTGGATAGAATATCAACCTTTTTAAATCTTATAAGCAAATGATCAGCAGCTGAAAAAATTTTCATTCATCTTTTTACTCTCTCTTCTACGGAGTACAGTAGGAGCCTATGCACTTTCTACTACACTTCAACATATTGATTTAGCCCACAGATCCCAGATTCCACTATGGACACCACAGCGGTCACGCGTGGTTCGCGTGACTTCCAGCCTACGTGGCGTACAAGTAACTATATATAGACGCTTCTTATTACTGACAATTACATCGTCAGTTATCATAAGGAATGATATAGTAGAGTGTGAAAATAAGAAGTATCATTGATTCGCAGTTTGAGAGACTGCTAGAAACTATTTATAATGGATCAGAACATGTGTTGATGGAAAACTGATCTCAAACACTATGAGAGTCTATAGCGCCTGAGTTGCTGTATAATGAAACAAAGAACTCTCTAACCTCTATGCGCAGCCTAACCTGCAGGCCCAAACCAAGAAGTTCCTGTCCTTGGCCCAAGGACAGTATCAATAGTATCACATAGCAGAATTCCAATATCGGACTTGCGGCCTTTAAGAAGAAAGAATCTTGTTCTGAAGCGTCACTAGCGTCGAATATCCCTTTCCAGATTGTTCGAATATTGGCACCGACACCTCGCAGTCGACAACATTAGGCTTTTTGCATTGCTCGGCCTGGCCCTTAAATTGCTGGCACAGAGTCCAAAAAGGCGGAGAACCGCCGTGCGGGGTTTCTTGCTGGGAGTCATTCCAGTTACACATATTTCTCACGTTCGGGCATTGCACGTGCGGGATAGACAAGCATTTTCCCTTAACCTTTGCAAAGAAAGTCCATGTCACAATAGCACATACATAACCAGGCGGGCAAGTCATAGTCAGCTCCACTTGAGTGATATCAGTCTGTGACGTTGTAGTACTGTCGGAGTATGAGACTCCAAGTTCCACCGACTTGTCTCCCCCACCAATACCAAATGCAGCGGAAACCTTAGCATCAATGCTCCACCCGGTAGTACGGCCTGTTGTGAGCCACTTGGATTTCAACGTTTTCAGGGAAGCTTCTTTCGTGCCAGTATTGGTTACTCTGTTTTCCTCCACGGGCGTATAGAGAACTTCGACCTTCTCAATACTTTGTAAATATTGTCTGTAGAAGAAACCAGCGCCTCCTGGGCAGAGAAGCCAGTATTGAGAACAAGGTGCTTCCCACTTCTTATTTGTCTCCAAATATGGTGCCGCTTGGGGCTTTATTTTAAACATTTTTTCCAGCTCTTTTATATGTTGTCTAGCAGCCTTCAACTCGGGAGTGAGCACGGATTCTTTGCTGACATTTATATTGGCAGGTTGGTTTGTAGGCGGGTTTGCCGGAACAGCCTGAACGCATACAGAGAGAATAAAGGCGAGAAGCGCAAATTTTGAAGGCATCTTGATAAAAAAGTAAAAAGAGAGAAACAAGTTCTTGAAAAAGATATTTTGAAAGTCGGTAAAACTGAAAATGCTGACTAGAAGGGGCGAGTAGCGGCAGTTTATATAGTCTTCATTCTCCTACGTCCGATCCGTCTGTTAGTAATTCTGCGCTCAGGGAATTGCTTCTTGAGAGGTCAAAGCCACGCCCATAATAAATGTTATACTTCATTTCCTGGAGTGCGTTGTTATGCAGTTGCAACGTAGGTGCGGAATGTCGTTAGAAGATCGGCGGTAGCTGGTACCTAATGACGCGCGAGAAGGGCTGAATCGGGTCACGTACGGAGTACAGTACCTGGTACCGCCGATCTCTAAAGACTTTTATTCCACACCTCAGTGGGTCTACATCGATGGCCCGTCGGATCTGAACATTCACATGCCTGAAATGGCGAGGAAGCTCAGGTATTTCTTGGTTGGGTATGCGGCACTTGAAAAGAGGAATTGAAGTGTGGCAGAGAGAGGTTCTTCAGGAAGATCCATGGTATCAAAAGAATGGACATCCCTTTTTCAAATGAATACAGTACGATCACGTAGCATTCTATAAAAATCGGTAGAGCACTGCTCAAGGAAGCTTGAGATGCTCTGCAAAACGTACTCCGTACCGAAGGTCACATTCAGCTCCGCCAAAAGCATCATACAACAAACACTATTGATTGCAATTTTCTACCGTCTAGCAATCTTGTTAGCCCCGCCTCAGCTGAGGCAATTCATTCATACATACCCGAGCAGACTAGGCTTCTGGGGTGATATGCCATACGCTAAAATGGCCAACAAGGAGTGATTCCAACAATATTATAGTTGGGGAGTTTGGTTTGTTGTGCTCAGGTGCCCAGGAAGGAACAAAGCTCGGGTTAAAGGTCCAGTTGTATGTATGTATGTCCTCCGTATGTATATGAGGTATCCATGAATGTATGTAGGTAAGGTCCCCGTTAGTTGCCTGTGGTTGCTAGCATAAACCAGGTTAAGATTAAAGTAACTACACCGTAGGTAGCGCATCCTTCCTTCCACTAACCGCGCCACCACAAGGGAATCCCACGATTTTCCGAGCTGTTACATAACACCAACCAAAGCATCGTTTTCAACGTTGACTACAGGGTACTCCGTGCAGGAACCTACGTATTTTGAACTTACGACGTTGAATCTACTATAGAGTAACTACTACCAATATCTACCTATAAATTCAATAATATAAAAATAATCAGAGGGCGAAAAATTCTCATTCATCTTTTTCAAATCTCTAAGTGACTAACTCCTACGTTAGGGGTCTATGCACTTTCTACTATTATCCTACTACTATGGAGGAATCCGTACTCCGTACATATATATTCCACTAGGAACGCCCCAAAGGATCACAACATTAGCGTTTGGTATGTTTTTACTACACACCACCAATGATACATTCTGATTGGCTTTCTCGGCCCGCAAGCGGCTAGTTAGTTAGTGAAACGACCTAAAATAATGAGCGGGCTGACGCGTAGAATTTCCTCCTTCGCATGGAGTACCTAGTTACTCCGCATTGCCTTTTATGTGCGGAGTACGGAGTATCAAGTCCTTTCCTGTCTTGTGGGCGCCTTTTGCTTACTTGTCGTGGGCTGTTCGTGATAGAACGGGCGCTGAGGCGCATAGCAGCCGTGTACCAGCCGATTACTCTCTTTCAAACTGCCACTGTTCCAGCGAGTAGATTTTACAGTTGTTGTATGGCGGGTACGCGGGCAAGAGCAAAGTAGGCCTCATGGTCATTTGGGGAATGCAACTTAGCCTCTCGGGCGAGGGAACGCCAGCCGCTGTTCGATGGTTTATTCCTCCTGGAAGGGTCAGGCGGGGCCATAGTGTTAACTAACTAACTAGTAGCAGCATACATAAACGGCTCGCGGGTTAGCTAGTTACTTCACCCGGTGTATAACATCACAACCAGCTGGATATGGAATTATTGAAGGAATCCAACAGCCTGGGCCCATTACTCATAATTGGCTGCAAGTGATATTATGCCGTCCGGAACCTAGGCATGCCGATTTGCTGCCTAGAGTGGTTAGGCCGACAAAGGTCCATCGGCACAAGCTGTACTGCGCATGGAGTACGGATACAGACTACCTCTGTACCCAAGTTTGGCCTCGCCTTTCTCCTCCACTGCGCCTGCCCCTTTTACTTCACTATCTGCGTCACC